TAAAACTGTAAGCCAAGATAAACCTCTCCTTCTTTTAAGTTTATTATCTCAGGTATTTTGTTACAGTAAGAGGAAGCCGACTAAACATTAGGCAACCAGGAAAACTGGCTACCACTCTCCCAGTTGGGTCACAGTAACTGGGAAAGTCCTGCTAGTCAGTGGACACAATACTCTTTTATCTGGCACTACAGCAAAGAAAGGATACAGTCAAGGTGAGACACAGGCAGTGGTCTGATCCTTGGTCAGGGCTAGCATTCCCTCTTTATTCTCTTGGATTTCATCTCTAAGAAATATATAATTCTCTCACTCTGAGAATAGAAAATAAAATTCAGGGATGAAGTTGTGGCCATGGTTGGTGAGTCTGATAATATATCATGAAATCCCAGTTCTCCATACGCTTAAATTTTTTCCTAGCCTGCTGTGGTGGTATAATCTTAGACTGAGGATGTAGCTTAGTGTAAAGCTTCAATCCTCAGACCACCAATCCCCAAAATGTATGTTTCCAAAGGAAAATGCATGGGAATCACTCAGCTGGGACAAAATTCTGACACTTCGCCACATTAAGTGGGTACCTATTCCAGGCCAGGCTACCTTCCAGCTCTGAAGAACCCACAGTGAACAAACAGACTCAAGTCTTGCACCCATGGAGCTTTAGAGAAGGTTAATGATATCAATGCCAGGACTGGGTGCGATGGTACAGATAGGGACAAGTGTTATCAGAGACAGAAAGTCTACAGAGCGATGCTGGCAGGCTCTGCCAGGCTCAGGCCCATGAGTGGTGAAGGTCTCAGAGCTGCCAGGTATCAGGCAGAGAGAGTAACCCTGGCTGTCCCCGGGAGGGAGCCACAGCTTAATTGGCTTCTGTCCATTTCTAGTGGTGTCCATTTGAAGCCATCTAATGGTTCCATTCCTAAGAAATTTCCAGCAGAGGGACCTTGATTGCCCTCTGGAAGACTAATTAGTGAGAGAATTGGCTGGTCTGCAGGGCCTGTGGGACAGGGAAGCCATCAGCTGGTACAAATAGTGGAGACAGCATGGGGCTGCTTTCTAATGGCTTTTTGAAGGTTGCTCTGCGTTTGATTGGCAAATGCCATATGTTCCTAGTGCTCAGGCACTAGGGCTCTTTCTTCCTCCCCTGTAAATGGCTCTTCTTTGCTTTGATTTCATCATTCCCTGCTCTTTAAAAGAGGAAACCCTGAGTCCTGACACCTCTTTTCACACAAGGTCGAGTGCTCTGAGGTTGCTGCTTCTAGGCTCTAATGATTTCTGCCTAGTTCTCCACTTGTTCCACTGCAAGGGCCACCAAGCAACCTGCTGGATCTCTCTACTCACTACTTACTCTCTCCCTGGTGGCTGTCCTGGTGCCAGGGACACTCTGAACCCAGAGATGGAAGGCCCCCAAACTGCTCTAATTGAGGCTCCAGAGGCCCAGAGAGCTCACAGGACCCAGGTACTAGGGGGCGTGTCTCCTTGGCCTTCAAGTGCCATGCAGAGCACAAGGACCCTGCTGGATTTGGGCTTTGCCTAGCAGCAGCCAGCCTTCCAGGAAGCCTGGCTTCGAAGGGCTTCTTCAGGCCTGACCCAAGTCCTTGCCTTGGAAGTCGTGGCCTTTCCTTCTTTGTCCCACTCGGCTGAAGCAGCACAGGACTCAGCTGTGGTCTCAGCATTCCCTCCATGATGCACAGCCATCATTAACTCGTGCCCTCCTCCCTCCTGCTCTTTGGCCCCAGCTGGCCTGCTCTTCTCCAGATAATTCCGGAAACTTCTAATTGCTTTTATCAATCTTTTCTCTGAAAGGTGCATTGAAGCTACATAGATCATATTTCCTCATTTGCTTCTTCTGGCTGGAAATGTTTGACCGTGAGGACAAAGTTGTTCCTGAAGGGTAATTTGAGGTGCAAGAGAAATTAGAAGTTGGTTTCACTGAACACTAGTGACAACCCCATTATTATCCTTAATGACTACCTGAGTGTTTCCTTTCATTTTGTCAAAAATAACATCCTCACCCCTACACAGCACTATGGCACCTGTGTTCTGCAGCTACCTTCTCGATAGAGTCTTCACTCAATGTCATCCTTGCAGTTTTGTGATTCTTTTTGGTCTTGTCTTGTCCCCTAATCAAGGGTTCTCCATTTTCTGTTGCCTGTTCACTGTGAATCTTACTTGAGAGCTCTGATGCTCCATCCAGGAGCATGCAGGGCCACCACACTCCTAGGACAAAAGCTGACATGCTCTGCAGTTCCTAGGAAGGTGTCAGTTTTGCCTGAATCTCAACAGCCCTGGGATCTGCCCTGCCCAGCAGGTTCGAAGCGCCATCGCCAAACACTATGATCCCTGTGGACAGTGAGTGCCTAGGAACTTGGGGTATGGGGTGGGTAGGGAGTGACACAGTGAGGCACACAGTATTCACTGGCAACCAGTGACCAAAGAGGGGGTCACATTCCTGGCTGCCACCTCTCTTGGTCCCAGCCTATTTTCTGAGCTGTTTTCTTTCTGTTGGTTTGGAGTCTCCTGATACCTTCTGATTCCATCCCCTTCCTTCTTATATGAATGCACAGGGTTTCTGTGGCTGTAAGGCTGCCTCGCATTCCTGGTTGGTGGGGTGCCTGTGGTACTCTGGGAGGCTGGGTTCAGAAGTCAGCAGGTGCACCTGCTACCCTCCATCTGCTCTACCCACTCTGGGAAATTGACTGTTGTAAGTCTCCTGTAGTGGGTACTGTTAACATTTCTTGTTTGTCTGTTTTTTTTGAAGACCCCACAGTCACAGAATGCCAGTGGGATTCCTCTTGCACACTCCACAAAGGTGGCATCTCTCTGTGAGTGTGACTCATGGTCACCCCAGATACTCTCCTGCCTCACCATTACCCTCCATGGGGTCCACCTGGATTCCCTGGAGTGCCTCTCTACCCTCACTCCACCGTGTCCCATAGTCCCAGCCCTGCACTGAGCCACAACTCTTGGGTTACTGGGCCTGGAGAACACTGCTCGATCAATAGATAGACTCTGTTCACTTTGAGGACCTGGCAGGATATGGTATTTGCTCTGGGGCAGAAAGGGTAGCCACGGTTTACAAAGGGCCGTACAATGCCACTGAAGGAAAGAATTGCTGCTTTTTTCTCTTTAGTAGTAAAATCAGTATGTGAGCAAGTCTAATGAGAAAACATCCTACAACTGTGATCTGGTATTTTCCTAATCCTTTAACTAGTCTTTATGGAGACAACTTCCTTAGAGGACTTCGGGGTTCCACCAGCTGCATTTTTGCTTTCTGGGGTGCAGGCAAGCATGGCCATTTCTCAATAGAGCATGGTGGGGTGCAGTCCGAATGGCTCCCAGATGCGGCCAGGGGCCTGGCTATGTTACACAGACCTGGCATCTAATTCTCCAGCCTTCTCTACTAAGGAAGCAGCAAGAAGTGCGGGATCCTGGAGCAGACAAGTAGGGCAGTAGAAAGCTGCCCATTGCCAGTGTGGACTCCAGGGAAAGCCATGGCAGGCCCTATACTTAGTTCTGTGAGGAGCATCACAGAATAGGGTGCAATGGCTTAAGCGAGGGCTTGAAGCTGTAGGCAGGAAAATATATCACACTAGGCAGGAATGCTGTCGGAGAGCCTGGGTGAGATGAAGACAAGGAAAAGGAACTACATTTCCATCATGACTCAAACCATACCTCAAAGCCAGCCAAAGAGCAGAGTCATGTGTAATTGTAGTGACAAATGGGCAGAAAAGGAAAAAAATCAGCTACCTGGCTTGGCTTTGTTTCCAGAGCTAGGAGCCTGCAAGATCAGCAAATAAACTGGTGGCTCAACCTGAGCCCCAACGCACTGCCTTGGGGGAGGGGTCCCTGAAAGGTTTGGGGACCTATAGAAAGCCCTGCTGGACCTTATCACGATCCAGGAAAATCCACATTTCTAAACCTATGGAAAAGTTATTGGAATTTTAATAAGTTAATTCCAACCTACCACTTCCAGGCATATTTGTAGTTGTGGGGTATCAAGGGAGTCCTAGGTTCAGCTAGAATGATGACTAACCAGTACAATGGCTTCTACCCAGGATTGATACCTGATTTTATTGATTCATGAAGAGGGGCATGGCTTGGGGATCAGTGACTGTGAAAGTGGTGAGAAGTACTTAGCACAGTGAGCTGGGCTAGGTAGGAGGTCTGATAACACTGTGTAGAGAGAGAGAGAGAGAGCTATACAGAAAAAGTAATTTACCTACCACAGATTGGGGCAGTAGTTTGAGGTCAGTGCTTCAGGTCTGAGGTGAATCCATAGCCGCTTTTCTTGAGGCTCATTCTCAGTCAGCAACATGGCTTCACTCAGCACAACACACACATTACTTGGGAGCTGTAGGCAGGGCTCACAAAGACTGCATCTCAGCACCTCTGCTAAACCCATGTGCATTGCTTAAAGCCAGTTGAGGGGATAAGGAAATGTCCTAGCCCAGCTCTGTACATATCAATACACAGAGGAAGGGTCAAAGGGTCTTCTTTTAAGAGAGCGTCCAGGTGGTCTCCACAGGGACCCTGATACTGCAAGTGAGATAAGAGGCTTCCCAATGGGAAGGATTTAAATTTCCTTTTAGGAATGAGCAGCTACCATTTAAAGTTGCCAGTAGATTGTTCTAGAAATAGAGATAGTGCATGAGCTTGGAGTGGAGCCCTTTCCTGGGAAGGACACACAAGTGGCCCCTCTTTCTTGTGCAGGAGTAAACAGACAGGTGTCTTTGGTTCTGAGGTGTGGTGTCCAACTGTCCCAGTCTGCCTGGGACTCAAAAGGTCGCAGTGATGTGGGATTTTAAGTACTGATACTGGGGAATTCCCTGGTAAGCTGGGGTTACTTGACGACCCTGTCTGAAGGTCAATCTATTTGAACTCTTTTCTCTGCTTGACAAAGTTACAACTTCAAACACCAGGGAGCCAGGAGCAAGAGCCACTGAGCAGAATGACCAAAGGCCTCTGAGGAGGGACGAACACCCTGATGGCTCCTTTTATTCTTTCAGCTCCTCTTAGGGGCTGAGGTCACTTGTGAAGAAAGACCTTGGAGACCTCCTGAGACCCGCATGTATGGCAGGGAGAGCAAGGACAGATGCCCTCAGCCACAAGGCCAGGCCCCTGTGTGTGTGAAACGGTAAGCATGCATGTGAATGTGCGTGTGTGATGGTGAGACACACTGTAAGTATGAGTGTGTATGCTGCAGCTGGAGGGTGGAGAAGTAGATGAGGGCAGGGAACCAGGCCGTGGCACACACGCTCACAGGGTGGTGACAGGGGAGGCCTCACGCTTAAGCGGGAATGCTGTCCTTAGTGGGAGTGATCTGAGGGCAGCCAGAATGCCTCGCCTGAGTCAGCTGCTACACACTAACAGAGAGAGGCCTGGGAAGGGAGAGGTTTCCATTAGATGTAAATGCTGACACTCTTCGTTTAACCACTGAATTCTGTTCCTGTGGCTGGTCGATAACTGAATTGGCTGCTGAATGAACTGTATGTAGTATGTACATTACAATAGAACAAAGGAATGCTCAAAGGAAACTCCAACTTGATGACTCTGCTTTTTCTTGCATACTTCATACGCACAGTGCTGGAAGATATAACAGAACATAAAACTACAGTATGGTACTATGCAATCAACAAAAATTATAGTACTGTAAAAACAAGGTATTCTGTACCAAAAAAAGACATGGAGGCTGTATAAGCAAGATGTACAGAACTATGTATTCAGAAAAAGTTGCTGAAGGGGCTGGGGATTTAGCTCAGCGGCATAAGTGCCTGCCTTACAATCGCGAGGTCGTGAGTTCGATCCCTGGTACCGATAAAAAGAAAAAGAAAAAGCTGCGGATAACTCTGGCACTCACAAGGTTGAGGCAGGAGAATCAAGTGAGTTTGAGACTAGCCTTGGCTATATAAGCGAAGTTCAAGACCAGCCTGCACTACATAGCGAGATATTATCTCAGAAAAACAAAAAACAAAAACAAACCAGGGCTCATCTAGTGCACCTGGATTGTAAGTCCTAATAGCTGTTTAACAGGCAGGCTATTACATGTGAAATATCTGTGTTTAAAAGCATAGTGTACACACGGTACCGGTGCCAGTCTCCTGGTTTCAATAGTGTGCTGTTGTTCACTGTGACTCAAACTTTAGGACAACAGGCAAAAGGTACATGGGCCTCTGGGGTATTTGTGCAACTTACCTCTTATAGATCTGTAACTATTTTATGCTAATTTTTTTTTTTTTTTGTCTTTTTCATTTTTATCGGTACCAGGGATCGAACTTACGCCTGCCTGCTTGCAAGGCAGGCGCTTATGCCGCTGAGCTAAATCCCCATCCCCTATCTGTAACTATTTTAAAAGAAAATGTTTTTTAAAACCTATTGGATAAATCTTTGGGGCTGAGGATTTAGCTCAGCGGCATAAGCACCTGCTTTGCAAGCAGGCGGTTGTGCGTTCGATCCCCAGTACCGATTTAAAAAAACAAACAAACAAACAAACAAAAACACCTATTGGATAAATCTTTTCACAATAAGAACCTGGCCACATTCTAGGTCAGGATAGAAAATGCCAACAAATTAAAAAAAAAAAAAAAGAGTTGGATTATGACTTCCATCACAGCTGGGAGAGTGGAGCTGCCCTTCCTGTCCAAGAGCTGACCAGGGGCTGCATGAGACCCACAGAAGGGGACCTAGGCTGTTCTACTCCCTGCCCAGTGCCGGCATCCTTGTCAGTCTGGATTTGAGAGGATAACATGATTAATTCCACAGGCCTCAAAGGAGGAGGCTACCCAGTTAGGGGAGGGTTTTACAAGCTGTGGTCTACATAGTTGCCAGTGCTGACACAGTGAGAGCCAGCACCTGCAACAAGCACCCGCATTCCCATGCGGCTGCCCCACCCCCAACATCCCAAAGCTCCTCCTCCTCCCCTCCCGCTCACAACCCACACACGCCCTCTCATCCCAAGCCTCTCCACACCCTGCTCAGCACCTTTTTGAAGCCTGCTGTGTATCCTTGGGGAAAAGCGCCAGCTGAGCAGAAGGCAGGCCAGGGCTGAAGTCAGGGGCCGGGATGACTTTGTGTGTGGCCTCCAGAGCTCCCTAAGTGCGGAGGAGGAGGCTTCGCTGCTCTGCTGTTTGTACATCGAGCTCACGGCTCACAGGACTGCTACTAAAACAAAATTAAAATACAGGAAATGTGGTTTGTCTTTATCCTATTGTATGAGATGGAAATATTTTAATATAATCTCCAATAAAATCCATCTCAAATCCAATGTATTAGGGAGAAAAATAGTTGGATATATAAAAATAATCAGAAACCTTACAATAAGGGGCTTATGTCAGGAATTATGGCAAATATTTTCTATGAAGTTGATTTTCTCCAAGAAACAGGAAAAATATTTATATAGGAGAAATTTATATATTTATATAGGAGAAACTTGAGATTTTTAAAAAACTTGTTTTTAGAAGTAAAACATTAATTACTCATTGCTTTTTATAGTTCAATAAAAGCAGTAAAGAGCACAATGGATATAATAAAAAGCTAAACTAACTACTCAAGAAATCCTCGGAATACTTGAAGAAAACCTAAGTGAAATTGTGAATAACAAGGAAGATAGGAAAGAGGTGAGAACATATAGTATCTGCTTGGGGGATCTGGTGAATAGGGGTTCCAAAGGGAAATAGTGGAAGAGAGAAGTAATGATCAAAGAAACAAAAGGAAAATGACCAAACATAGAAAGTACAGTGCCGTAAAACTAAGCACCAATAACAAAGAATGGGTGAAAAGTAAATCCACTTCCAAACCAAAATAATTTCTGGGTCTAAGAGAAAAGAAGCTGCATCCCAGGGTCTTGATACACCAGCATGGCCGAAGGTGTTTCCGGGAGAAGGAACTGCACATCTGAATATGTTGTAAAGAATTAGCAGAAATAAATGTTCCTGTGAAGAAAGAGGAAAATGGACAAAATTAACCCTAGAGAAAGTGAAGGAAAGATAAACTCAGATACTTGTGCTAGCAGCCAGCAGAATGAGTTATCCTGAGGGCTGGTTTTCTGGAGGGGACAGGCCACGGCAAGGCAGGCAGAGAGAGTGTAAACTGTGGATGTGACATCTGTGGAAGAGGAGAAAGCGCTGCACAGGGAGGCGCTAGTGCGCAGGGTGGCTAGGGAGGCTCAGAAGGACACACCACTCAGGGTGGGCTCCTATTTCTTGGGGACACACAGCATCTCCTTCTTTGGGCATGAGTAGTAGCTTCAGAAAAGCAAAAGTTCGTTTTATCCATCTCTCTGTGAACTGGTGAGGTAAACTCCAGACTGCAAGGCCTCAGCAGAGAACTATGGTGGATAACGGCCATGGTGCCCTCTCTGGGCTGGGGTTCAAGCGGATGTCAAGCTACATACCGCACCTGCCTCTGCCTATCTGTGAATTGTGCGCATTTCATGAGCTCTCCACTCCAGGGAGCCTGTACAGGATAGTGAGGGGCATCATAAACCTGCATGCTACCTTGGAATGTTCTGGTAGCTTGAAAAAGCTGGTATTGAGGCACTGGTGGCCTGCAGAGGAGACTTCAAGAGAGAGAGTCAGCCAAACAAGAGGCTGTAGTCAAGGACATATGCAGGTTTATGCTGTTTTGGGCCACCTGGGGATTCTAGCCTCAGTTAAGAGCCCAAGTATATGGGGAATGGTCATCTGCCAGCCTTATTTGACATAGGCTGGGTCCGAATCCCTGGGGCCCAAGGTTCTGGGCAGATTAGGATAAATGCTAATGCGGATGCTCCAATTCCTAGATTTATCTCACCAAGACAAACTAGACAAATCCTGCTTCCATCGCCAGGCATGGACACTGAAGTCCAATGCTCTTATACTAGCTGGCGTTCTTTGAGACGCTCAGCTTCAGCCTCAACCCACAGTCTGTTCTCCAGGTTTCAGGACTTATGGCAGCTGATGACACAGCCTGCAGTACAGGAAACACTGCCAGGAAACAACTTCCAAGGTTAGGAGGTAACACCACGGAGAGTGCTCAATGTGATCTTCCTGATTTGACAACTTCTGAAGAGCACAGCAGAACTGCATTTTCATGCTTGAGGAGATTTCTGGTGACATGGGACTCCCTGGAACTGCTAATAAGGATGTGCATTAGGAGCCCCAGGTCAGACAATGGACCTTGAGATGGTTTTTCTGAGGCACAGCTGGAGGAAAGTCCCCTGTCCAGTATTGAAAGTGGTAAGAGAGAGTCCTCTCTCTTTTCCTCTTGATTCTTACAGAATCAAGTCACTAGTCATTTGCTGGAGCCCTGCGCTCCCCCTGCTGAGGGCCACCTTGTCCTTGATGCCAGGGGGCCTTTTGCCTCCTGCCCCATCTCCCCTCCTCTTTCTCCTTCTTCACCCTCTCCCTTGACTGTCCTCAGTCTGAATTGGATCCCACCCCTCAGATCTTTTGCATGCAGGATGCTGTTCCCTTGGGGTATCCTGCTAACTACATAGGTGACACCAGATCTCCTCTTGGGTCAGCTCTGCGGCACTGAATCTGACCCTTGTATCAGGCACTCACTGCCCGGCTCCCTAGCGAACTCCGTGGCACCAGACTCACACCACCACTGCACCTGCTTCCTGTGGTGGCATGCCGTACTCTCTTGGCGGCCCTCTTCTTCCTTCTAGCATCGTGGGTTTTCTTGGACAACTAGAACAAAATCTCATCCTAAGCTCTGCTCATCAGCCACTTTTAACTTCTCTCGCTTCAGCTAAGCATATGCAGGGGGTCTGGGTACCTCTGTGGGATGTGGCTCTGGGGGCAGGATCCTATCCCCAGGTTTTGTGATCTGGGCCCTTGGCTGCATCTTTTCAGATCTGCCCTGTGACTGAAGTGCCTGTCAATGCACACTGAGATTTCACTTTCCCTTTTGTTGCTAATGGCACTGACCTCTGAACACCACCTCCCTAATGCCCTTTGTCATCTTTCCATGAACCCTGTGAGATCACTGCACCCTTCTGAGCTCAAGATTTCCTAGTGGAGGATCTAAATTGTAGTTTCAGGGATGAAACTGAAATTTCTCACTAATGCCAGCTCTCAAGAGGGACCAAGGTGCTGCTGCCTGCACCCACCCTCACCTCTCCAGCCTTGTCTTATGTCATGGCACCAGTCATCTTGAAACATGTAGGTGAACTCTCTGGGTTTTTAGACACCAAGATACCCAGCAATCTTTGGAACCTATTCCCACGTGAAGGATGTGCTCCCTAGGGAAGACAGTGGGCTCCTCCACAGGAGGATCCCAAAAAGCCTCCCCAGGCTGTCCTCCAAGCAGGGTTGAGTTCCTCTCCTGCATTCTCCTACAGGACCCTGTGTACATCTCTGCAAGGTTGTCACATGGGACACCTCTCATTCGATGTGTGCACTACCTCCATTAGGCAAGAGACGGTGTTCAATATTTGTTTTTGGGATGAAAAAGTGGTGGTTTAAGTAGTATGTGTGCTCAGACTTTTCCCACTGCTATGCTGAGTGGAATGGTGTGAGGGAATGGAAGTGAGCCACACTGGTATCAGGGTTTCTTGTCTAGATCATGGGAGCACACAAAGACTTTGCTCTGCTGGAAGATACAGTGGGTTTCTGTTCCCCAAGGTAGCTAAGGAGCTCATGGTGTCCCCATCCCCATTTGGAGTGCCCATGCCTAGCTGGGTGGGTCGGTGTTCTCTGTCCTTGAGGCCAGGGGAGCTGAGTGGATGTGGGAAGCTCACCTGCTGCCCAGAGTTGGGGAATGCATGCGTCTTGCAAGATGGAAGTCCTGTAGTACGGGATGCATTGGGATGGGAGCCGAGTGGGGCCCCACCAAGGCCTGGCTTCAGATATGCTTTTGAGAAAATAGAAAACAAGATTTCTTACATCTAGCTCCATAAAGGAAGCCAGGCTAGAAGCTTTGAGGGGAGTATTTTCCAAAGACATAAATCCAATTCCCCATACAAGTGTCGTATTGCAAAAACAATTTATAAGCACTTAAAATTTCACCATTAAACAGCAACTAAAGACAGATTCTGGGTGGGTGAGAAGAGATGCCAGTGCATGTCAAGATTTGATTGCTTAGAAGTGAGCCCCAAACAAAATCATCAAATTTAATTTTTGAAAATAGGCCCATCAAGATGAACTTTCACTAATTAATAAAATTTGATTTTTTTCCAGATGCGTTTTCATCTTCTGTTACCACCATCAGACATTAAATGTGGAGATAGGGGATTGCACATAAAAAGTTGGCTGAGAGAGGCCTTCACTGTGAGCTCCCCTTTGGAAATGAAACTCATCTCAATAAATCACAATGGCTCTTTGCCATCGTGAGCCTTCTCCACTCAGTTTGCATGGCCAAACGAAGTTCTGGCCATATGTTCACACCATTTGGGGAAAAACACATGGAACCAACAACACAAGGACTGCACTTATAAGTTTTTTTTTTTTTATGCAAAGTACATTCACTCTAGATGTGTAAAATATACTGCCATTCCCGCCCTGCATTGTGGGAACAATAACCTTTCACATGGGACCAGCATTTTTGAAGCCATGAGCCAAACACAAGGAACTTGGGTATCCTCCCCATAGGTGCTCTATCACTTGCTGTTCCCCAGCTGTCTTCTAAGTCACAATGGGTGGATGAAAAGTTGAATAAGAAAAATGCTACAAATCAAGACCCTAAGTGCTGTCCAACAGGGACACACCCATGGGCATATAATCGGTAGAATATTCCAGTAGCCCCAGTTCGGTGGAACTTCTAGAACCTAAGTAACATGGTGCCATGGTCATGCCAGTTCCTACTGGGTGGCTCCCTTCCTAGACTAACATGGATTTCATCTTAAAGGGAAATTGAGATCTGGCTAATGCCAAATTCTGATTTCTCAGAGTTCCATTTGAGGAAAATCCTAGGACCAAACTACCTTTTGAAGAAAGGTAAATTGCAAATAAAGATTTTGTGGCATATTTTAGGTGCCAGATAAGGTGCTCTGGGAAACTTGGTCCTTAGTAGTGGGCTTGTATCCAGCGGTCATCTGGACTCATGTTGTTCCAGTTCACATAGACCACAGGCCTAAGGGGCAGAGGGAGATCAAGGGGGCTGCTGTACTGAGGGGGGAAGAATTGTTTCCTTCTCAATACAATACACATAGATGAAGCTCTAGAGGATGACAGAGAGGACAGCAAGAGGGAGGAGACCACTGGAAAGACACAGCATTGCCTAGGCTTTCTTGGTTTGGGTTTAAAACAGTGCCATTTTTAATAGATGCACAGGGACAGTGAACATGTAGGCCAGAGGTGGAGCTAAGTTAAGTGGCAGTGCAGTGTCTTGCCTGCCATGTGTGAAGTCCTGAGTCCAATCCCCAGTATCACTACTACACACACACAGTGAACAAGTGATGTTGCTTCTATGCTGAAGCAGAAACAAAAAGACTCCTCTTGGGTTCAGCTCTGTGGTCCCTGTCCACCATGGTTCTGTTTCAAACATCCCTGATCTAGTGTGGAATTCATGTAAAGCTAGGGAAAAAAAAATGTCTTGGGCATATACTCATTCTGGGCCCTGGCTTGGTTCTTTATCACATTACAAGGTGCAGCCTCTTTTCATAGGGTGGATGCGACAATTTCTATACCAAGGCTTCTACAGAGAACAACGAGGAGCTATGAAATTTCTTCAACTGTAGAACATGATCCAATATTAAATAACCACCACTTACTTACCAGAAAGCACCGACAATGCTGTAGTCTTCGCCTGAAGAAATTGCTCATTTGGTGAAGGGTATCTCTCAAGAAGCTGCATTCATGGGTAGGGTTCTTGATGTTTTGGGAAAATCTTGTTTGTACAATACAGGTCTTGAGCCTGCTAAATACCAAACTTACATAAAAGTGCAGAGCTCAAGCTTTATTCATTAATGCAACCTTTTTTTCCACAGAAAAATTGTCCCAATCCCCACTTGTACAGCTACAAGACTACAGCCCACTCAGCTAAGTGGGAGTGGAGTGGGCACACACAGTAAGTGGATGGTACTCTCCCGTGTTAGATGAAAGGCAATATAGCATTGTGATGGGTCACCTGCTATTTCTGCCCTTTGAAATGTGTTGTGGTCAGGCAGCACAGACTTGTCACATGACTGTGTTTCAGATCTGCTTCCCCTAGGTCTGCAGAATAGATCAGGTCTCCCAACACCTCTGGATGTGACATCCAAAGTGACATTCAAGAGTAAATCATCCTTGGCACTAAACACACGTGAGCAGCAGCCTATGACAGTCACACAAACTTGTGTGATAGGTTGCAAAAACAGGAATATATTATTTTAGGGCATTTCTTTAAAACAATGCAGAACATTCTTCAGAGCACCAAGGGGGGAAATGTATATATATACAGATTATAAACATTACCTAATTTCTTATGAATCCTGGTGTTATACCCTTATCACAGATAAGGAAACTGAGGTGACATCTCCTTCAACAAAGGCATCTCAATTTCAGTAGAAGAAACCATAGTCAGAAAAAGATTTTGGCAAAGTCAGGATGATCTTTGACTAGTAGGTTATTCTTCAAAATTCTGCAGTGTGTTTACAGGGCTTAGTGAAAAAATAAAGATTATGAGCTAATTAGGTCAGAAAGTACTTGGGATAAACAGACATATGGATTACAGATTGCCATGAGGAGACTATAAATAATTTTCTTTCCCCTCAGAATACACTTTGGGGAAAGCTGGGGTAAAACCTCAAGTCCTGAAAGTCAGATTTGGGAAGACAGGTCTTACGCTTCTGATATCCTTGATGATCTCCTCCATCCCAAACTTTCCAGGTTTTGTATTTTTAAATTCCAAAGTGAGCTAATTGGGAAGTCCTGATGCTGGCATTTTAGACTATATGACCTGGATCATCTTAAAACATAACCAAGAGCCTGGAGATGGAATTTGGAGAGGTGGACCCAAGGACTGGGACCCAGGCCAGTGGAGACGCTGTGTGACTTCAGTGAGATCCTGCATGTCCAGGGCTGCTTGTGTGGCCTGGGGGTGGCAGACAGCAGGCAAACTCACCCTAAGACTGGGCAGCAGCCAGATGCTTCCAGGAACGGGCCTCAGAGCATCTGTAGGATACACAGTTGAGTCTACAGGCCACATGGCAGGCATGACAACTAGAACCACATTGTATCTTCCTTCAGAAAAGTGAGTGCTTTTAATACATAAATGGTGTACCGGGAAGACTAGCTGATTTCTACAACTGACCTGAAAGCCTGAATGTAGCTCAGTGGAGCCACTGTTCATTGATGACCTTTCAGAGCCTAGACAGAGCTCGGCACACTGTACATGCATAGTACATCTCTGCTGGAACAATGTGTGACTTTAGCAGACTACAAGCTGCTACCAGAAACATTTATTAAAGAGTTTTAGAAAGCTTGCTTGACCATTAAATTAAACTTCCAAGTTCTTCTGATGTGCTGGGGGTACATGTGGCTGACACTGCTTGGGGGAAGGGCTCTCTCTAGATAAAGAAGCAACCACAACCCCACCAGAAGTAAATGGGATTTGGCAAATGTCACATTTGCCAAACTATTTATGATATTTTCTTTACTTCCTTATAGATAAACAGGTAGGGGAACTGGTACATGTGGTCTGATAGGAAATGAAAGACTGTCAATAGTTCTAAAATGAATGGATTTCAGGGCAAAGGCTGTCTGCTTTTTAAGAGGCAGTTAAGTGCTTATAAGTATAAGGTACTAGTCCATGGGCCCTTCTAAAACTTTTTCTACTATAACTAAAAAATGGCTTAATTGGTCTTAACAGGTTGCATTCAAGAATAAGATTCTGTATCCTTAATCAAAACAAAAAATGTATTTCTGAGCAGATGCCACCCAATATTTCTTACATAACATTAAAAAAATTCACTCAAATACCAACAGATTCAACTTTATAGCACCATTCCAAAATACTAAACTTTCTTTGCACCTTTATTTTTATCATTTTTTTTTTTTTTTGGGTACACATTTAAAGTATGGGCATCCTGTAAATTTCTGAAAAGCCTCATAGAAAAGAAAAACAACTAATTTTTAGGACAAAGCAATAACTTGGTTTATAGGCAAGATGATCTCAAGCAGGATGTAAATTCTTCGTGGCTTCTGTAAGTCTTGATGTTGGAGTGAGAGTGGAGAGAGGACGCTAGTGCCTTCCTGGAGGAGCCTAGAGACTGTGCGGCATCAGCAGATGACCATGTGCTGCCCAGTGGGCAGCTCTGAGCACTGGCTACAGCTCAAAGCACGACACCAACATTCTTTTGCAAGGATTTTACTATTCTGGTTGACAAAATGATTGGGACATTATATAATTTCAAAGTTTGTGTGTAACTTTTATTCATATTCTGTAAGAGAGAAATCAGAAAAATTTTGAGTCCCTCTTACAAATCTCTGTTTTAAGCTTGGAGCACTAAAAATTGTTCCCAGCAAGCAGATGTATTTAAAGTGTAATTATAAATGGGTATTTAATACAATATATATGGCTATGTTGTCATCTAAGACAACTGTTTGATTAAGTGAAATGGGAACTGACAGATAGTAAGACTGCTTGCAGGAAAAATTATTTTTTTCTTGTGACACTAGAGAGTCACATCTTGTACTGATTATAACTGCATGTTCTTGTCTAGCTCTTCCATATATTACCGTGAGCAATGTGAACCAAGATAGTAGGTGTGGCAGAGGGTTGGGAATTGCTGAGACTAAAAGAGGGATGAGAGAGGTAGAATCAGAATAAGAAAGGAGTCCACTAACAGCATAATTATGCAGCAGTTTCAAAGAAATTGATTGTTACAGAATAACAGTCAATGACCCAGAAAGAGAAAACTTATGTTAGCGTTGACGAGTATTAAAAACCTACTGTGCATCAGGTAGGAAGGAATATGAGAATAATATGTCCTGAAATAGAAATAATCACTTTGCACTATGTACACCACATACAATATAACAACTCTTTTTAACATTGCACAATATAAGTATTATACACGGTGAGTAAACTAAATGCAAAATAACTTTGAGGCACACAGAAGAAACATGGATAGCTTGATCTTTGATTAAAATTCAGATGACATTAGTAAAAGGCAGAATGTTACATTTTCAGGCCCAGTCAGCTTTGGAGATCTCACCTCAAGTGGGTTGGCAGTTACCTCCCATTTTTACTGGAAATTATCATACCTCAATGTCCTTAAGAGTTATTTGCTTCAAAGAAAGACTAATTAGCTAAATAATTTGAGAAAATCAAACTGTTGCTCCCCACTCTAAAGTAGGTAACCCTGAAAGGTCACTTCTAACCTTAGGGTTTTATAATGTGAGGATGCTGCTGTATTTCCCGTTTCTTGTAGATAACTTGGTTACTATGAAAACCACTTCAAGGAAACTAGAACAGTATTCAAGAACACCCATCACAGTGCTTAACAAGATTTAATGTACATTTATTCTTAACATGTGGAACATATAAAGATTTTATACTGAATAAATGATATTCATTAAGCCAGAGGAAAAGGAGGAATTTACATCAAGTTTTTTTCTTGTTTTTTAAACTACATTATCTTGAAATACAAATGTGGATTCTCATCACTGAAAAATCTTTGAAGTTGTGTTTCTTCCTTTTAGCTGTATTTTTTCTTTCTTTTTTTGTCTGTATTAGTAACCATTTTCTAAATCAATCCATATGCAACCATTTCCACACCTTGATTCATGAAGCAAATTGGGATCAGCTGCTCTCCCAAAATAGAGCATGACTTTATACATACAGAAACTTGTACATTACCCTCTTTTTTTTGTTTTTTTTTTTTGTTTTTGTTTTTGTTTTTTGTATTTTTCTTTCTTTTTTGGGAGATATGGCCCTAATGAAAAAATATATAAAATAAAAATAAAAAATTATTTAAATCTACTATCACTTCGTAGTTACCACATCATGAAAAAGAAACTAAAAACTTCGTACTAAAAAAAAAAAAAAAAAAAAAAAAAAGAAGAAAAAGATGAGGGTATGTTTAATGTACAACTTCTATATACATCACAGCCCATAGGCAGTAAAAAAAATATTTAAAAAATGATTAAAGGAATTGTGAAGAACTGTCATGTGGAGGCCAAACGACAGACAGCAGACACGGTGGTAGTGGTGAGGAAGCAGTTTCTACTGATCACTGTCAGGGATGGTTTTGCTCCTAGCCTAATATGACCATTTTCCTGCGGAGAAACCAGTATCATTCATAGTTCTGATTACTGACTGACATACCTCCTTGAGCCCCTAATTGCTCTAGAAGTTTCTATTGCACAGAGCTTTGGATGATGGATTGCAGTTTTTTTAATTCTCTGAAGAATAAAAAGCACAGAAAATTGGTAACTTTTCACCTTTTGCCTCAGTGTGGTGAAATTCTCCCATCTTAGTATTTTTGTCAAACTTTTTTCTTTAAAATCAATTTGCTTCCCCAAAATGCAATACAACATGGAAAGTAACATTAAAAAGAAATCCATGAAAAACAAAAAGTGACTTGAATGCACTAGACAGCAACTTTGGTTAAAAAAAATAGAAAAACCCCAAAAGGATGTACTTATACACACAGACAGCAAATATTAATTTCATAACTGTTCAAATTAATTGTTTTTTAATTCCCAATTGGTAAATAGTGAATGGGGCAGAGGAGCAAAGATTCTCTTTTCCTTCTTCCTACGCTGGATAAACAAGAACAGAAAACAGCCAGTTATATGTGACCCTCTAATCTTCACTCACACATGCTTGCCTTCTCACTTATGTCATAACTGCCCAATCTGAAATAGTACATCACAGATGACAGATGCAACCAGAGAGTTCAGGACAGCTGATATTGAGATATCCAGCAACCGGCCCTCGTGCAAAAGGAATTCCGAGCGGTTCTCGTCCACTCTGGCCATGGCCAGCAAAGCCTTGGCTGCCCTGCACATCATGTCTACGCTAGGTGGTTCCAGAGGCGGGGGCTGCATGTGCATGAGGTTATGCTGGCTCTGCTGGTATTGCGCCATTGTGACCCCGTCCTCCAGGAAGCTTATCAAGTTTCCAATGCTTCCCTTCTGCACAGCTATTGCCCTCGCTGCTAATGCATCCCCCTGGGCAAGGTTCGATAAAAGCGCCATGGACATTTCTCGACAGACTGGGTTTTTGCGATCCCCAACGTACCTAACTAAAGTAGCATAGAATTTCTCCTGACGACTAAATGGAGGTGTGGCCAAGATCAGGTCCACATTATTGTCCTGGATACTGAGTTTACAGAGGGTCTCCAGCACAAGTCTCTGAGGTGACAGGACTGAGTTAGGTCCCACGGTGGGAAACGGGTCTTGCGCCTCCGCAGATGGGCATACCATCCAGTGCAGCAAGCCATCCAGAATTGGCAAGCAGATGCTTTCTGTGTAGGCAGACAAGTCTAGCTGCCCGGAGATGTTGGCCAACGTGACCAGTGTGTTATCCCGCAAGACCTCAAGGCAGTCCCACCACCACTCATCTTTGCTGCAGGCCACCCCCTTGTCCTCGTCCTCCTCTTTCTCATAGGTCTGTGGTGCTCGTTTCCGCTCTGGATGTTCATGGTGAAGAAGGATCAGCTTCCCCAGGATCAGCACCAAGCCTGGATGTTTGGACATCTCGGCATCATTGCCAGGCACGAAAGATAAGCTCCGCACGATGTTGGACACACAGATGCAGCGCTTAGCCAGTGAGTCCTGCCAGTGTGCGATGGTGCACAGGGGCGTCTCGTCTCGGCTCCTCGGCTCATCCTCCAGCAGCTTGATGTTCCGGTGACTTTTTGCTTGCTGGATACCAAAGGGGAACTTGCTGCTTTCTGGCTGGGGCCCAGGGTTTGTGTCTTCAGGCAAGGCCCCTGGCCGAGCAGACAGGACATCGTCAATAGTGGCTATGATGCTTTTCTCTGGCTGCTCTTCGCAATCACCTTTGCCTTCTGACTCTCTCTTTCTACCCGTGTAGTTAGAAGGGGGTGGTGGGCGTCTGCGAGGTGGGATTTCCATCTTGCTCTCAAAGTGAGTCTGGATGTGCTCAGTGGTGTCGCCACCCCCAAGCTGCCAGTGTAGAAGCCCGCTGTTGAACTCTTGCACTCGGCCCAGCTTGTCCGACCGGTCAACAACAAATAGGTTGTTCTTTTTGACAATCTTTATTGGTAGCTTGTCAAACTTACTGGCCTGTTTGGGCTTCTCCTTGGGGTCTGCAGTGGCATCTGCAGCGCTGAGGGCAGCAATGCCCTTGGCATCAGCTTCTGTCTTTTCACGGTCTTCCTCGTCCTCGTCCTCTTCCTCATCTTCATCAAGACACTCAGTGTCTTCTTCCTCCTTCCCAGAATCGTCAGCAGAGGACTGGCTATCTTCTTTTCTCACTGCATTGTGATCAAGTGCTTTTTGGCTGGGGTCTCCCACTTCATATTCCATAAGAATTCCAAAAATGTCAATCAGGCATTTTCTATAGTACTCTACTAAAAGTTCGAGAAATCCAGATAACTAGAGAGAATAGGAGGAGAATAACAACAAAGAACAGGTACAGTGTCATGAGATCAGCTATGCCTGGGAAGGGTAGAAATTCTGAACGCTATCAGAACATTTCTGAAATTATTTTCACACACATTTTCATTCTTTTCTAAGCTGGTCATGAGAGATAAACTATATATCTGTGAGAACTAAATTCTGGAATTTATATCCTCAACTAAACGACAGAGCAGGTTTTTGATTTGCTGCTGACTTTTCTTAATCTGTCAACATGAAAACCAACTTCTAATTTCCACATTTGTAATATAATCCATTCTTTTTTTTTGGTACTAGGGATTGAACTCATGACCTTGTACCTGCCAGGCAGGTGCTTACGCCACTGAGCTAAATCCCTGGCCCTACACCTACATTTGTGATATTATCAATGAGGGAGTGATTTGCTATTTTTTACCCCTCTTCTTTTTTTCTCCAGTCTTTACTACGATGAGCTCATTATTTCAAGAGCAGCAATGTGCATTTCATATTCTTTTACTCAAAATGCTTCTGCTTCCTTCTAGTGTGTATTTGAGACTTGCTTGTTGGTATTTTTATAGTCATTACTCTTGAGATTTTATGGTTATTTTCACCTGAGGTGCCATAGGTTACTCTAATTTACATTCTCTATATCTTTTAGAGAAGATAATTTCAGCACTGTAGTAGCTCATAAACACTGAAAATTAGAAACAAATCAATTGAGTCCCTGATACATGAATTAGAATGTGTCATAAAATGCAATTTTCCATCTCAGTTGTTCACAGCTCTAGCTGAAACACAAAAGGTGTGAGGAGAAAGTCACTGCCTGTGAGAATGAGCAGTTTCCTTTGAGCAAGTATCTGTGTCAAGGGAAAAAAGGACACTCCATGGTTGCATGGCCCAGGCACACCACCTCCTGCTACAATTAAGGACTACACAAAATAAGCAGGTAATAAAAAGAGTTCCTTTATGCCAATATTATGGAAATTAGGCACACTGCCATATCTGTTAGTTTCTTGAAGGACGTGCAGTGATTGTTGAGAAGTTGGACTTGAAATGTTTTCAAAGTGATTTTGTTTAGCCCGAAATGTACAGCTTTTTATGTGTAAGATCTGTCTTCAGGGAAATGGGGATAAAGGAAATCTTGGTATGAAAATAGGTGAACAATAACAGTTCATATATTCTAAAGGTGAAAGTTAATTATTCTAGTGAAAGCCAGCTAAAATTTAAAAATATTTACTTTATGTAAATATTTGACCACAGACAACACTTATGACCTTATTCATTCACTATTTATCAACTGAAAATTGCCTTACTGGGCTACTTTGAGGCATTAAGTGAGAAGAAAAGAGGGGGGTGAATGATTCTGGGTTTACATTTTAAAAGAAACAAGGAAACGAGATGTGCTAGTTCTTCTCACAGAAAGCAGAGTTGTGTGTAGGGGAGAACAGCCTTTTCTTATTTTTATTTCTAAATATTTCCTTTTTTTGTTTGTTTTTGAGACAGGGTCATGCTTTGCAGTTTAGGATGACCTATTAAGTCACTGGGAGTCCCAGGATAATCTTGAGCTCAGGATGAACTCGTTCGGCCTCAGTTTATTCTCCCAAGTACTGGAAAAGTCCAGTTGACTCTCAGTATTTCCCTTATTTCTCCTTTTCTGCTTCAGCCATTATTTGAGAAGCTACTTTAAGCCCAACTCTGAACAAAGGGGGATGCAGACTAATTACAGGTAGCAGGCTTTATGATGACTACTTCAAACAATTGAGGCAGGCATGGAACAGACCTAGAAACAGGTTTGGCTATGAGTTCGTATTTCTTTTAGCTGGATGGTAAGGATATGGGGGTCATTAAGTGCCTCTCTACTTCTATATACTTTAACATTTTTCTACATTATACCATTGCTTATTAATTAAAAGAAAGATGTGTTTATCTGCAACTAATTGTGTTTCCAAAACAGATACAACTATAACTCTATTTTACATTTAGATTAATTCACACTAACTTGGTAACATTTATTTCATATGAAAACTTAACTTTGTCATTATCTGTTATACACACATACACTGTCACTCTTTCCTTACAAAAAAATGTGTGTGAGTAAAACTGAAAGGCGTATCATGCAGGCTAAATTCTCAGTTATACATTGATTAGTGTTGGTTTACAACAGCTACTATGGTTAAAAACATTAGTTAGGCATTAGTTCAAGAATTATACCCTATTTAATTTTCCAATATTCTAATTTGGTTGGTTGTTGGATTGGCACAGGCTCACCTGAGAGAGATTGAAAGTAGCGACAGTGCTGTCATCATAGAGAAGAATGTTGATAGTGTCCAAAGCCCAAGTGCTTTCAGCCAGAAGACCTGACTTAAGGGACATCATCACACGCCATGCCTCAGGAGTAACTAAAAATGAGAAAGGACAAGGACATCTGTAATAGTAACTCTGTATATGAAAGAACAAGGAAAAAGACTAGACTGTTGAGCGAAATATTGATTTTAAACAAATGTTCAGAGTCACACATGATTATCTTCTGATTTTAAATGGAGGCTACAGGTTGTACTAACAGCTTTTATTGTGTGAGATCTTTTTAGTTTACCAGTTAAATATAAGTCAAAGTGCTTCTAAATGTGGTGGGCATGGTTAAGCATGAACAGTTCTCATCTCATATGTATTTCTGTTCTCGTTTTAAATAACTGTGATAGCCTAAAAGAGGTCTCTACTGCCTCTGCCTTCTCCAGTCACAACTTCTCCAGGCAATGTCTATAGAAGGCTGACAAGCATGCAGAATATAAAAGCAAAATTTCCAAAGTAGCACATCCTTCGATAAAGTCTTGATTTCCACATGAAGTGGAAATCTAAGTGCTCCTGCCCTTAGAACATGCTGTTAATAAGTACCAGTACTTTTCTTTTTTTTTTTAGCCTTTTGAGACAGTTTCACTAGGGTGATTTAGACTGGCCTTGAATTGATTTTGTAGCCCAGGCTGGCCTTAAACTTCACAGCAATCTTCCTGCCTCAGCCTCTCAAGTGCTGGGCTTACAGGTGTGTGCCAAAATGCCTAGACTAAGTACCAGCACTTTGATGGTTAGAAACGGATGATCTGAGCCAAGGACTGGGAAATGGCTTTTTTGTTGTTGTTTTCCTTATTCCTGTCATCGAAGAAAACAAAATGATTAGATAAAAGTTGGAAGATCTGCACATAATGAGGCTAGAGAACGGAGTCCTCATACATCGGAGTTTTCAGCAATAGCTGCTCAGAAGCAGGCATGTATCGTATGAGCAGAGGATGGTGCGGAAGACATTCTCCACCCAGATTCTCCTAGAGCACTGCTACGTGGGCAGGAGGACACTTTCTGGATGTCCGAGGTACTGTCACAGGGGAAGGCTATGTGCTGTTCCTCCTACATCTGTTTCTCAAGCTAAGATGCACACATACTAATTTTCTAGTGGGAAAAAAAAGTTAAACTTTCTTTTCAAAATAAAGAAGGTAAATTTGAAGACAATCCCTTTTTAAAACTTAAATATATACACATACAAATGTAAACTGTATTTATAAATTTTTGTATAAAAATGGAGCTGTCTGCATCTCATTCTTTTCTCCTGCAACTCCAAGATATCAAAAATGTCCAGTATTTTCTCTATACAAATGTGTATTTAATATCCAACAATTTCATTTCACTAATTTTGTATCTTTAATTTTCTAATCACTACAAATATTTTTAAGTCAAGTGATTCTAATTTTTGTTTCTTTTTGATGGTACTGGGATGGAAACCAGGGGTTTTGCATGCAATTACATTCTCTGCCCTTCCAATATTTTAAAATTTTGAAATAAGGTCTTGCTAAGTTACAAAACACCCCAAGTTTGGTTCGGTCTTGTGATTCTCTTGTTGATCAACACTCTTATGTATTCCATAATTTGATGGCCTTCCTGGAAGGTGAAGGGAACTTCAGAGAGGTATGTATTTGAGGGGAGTGGGTTGTGGATGTGTGACCTGGGGGATTATAGTTAATTCTTTGCTGCTTCTTGTTCTCCACTTCCTGTCTGCCACAAGGCAAGCAGCTTCTTTGACCATGCCCTGCCCCACGCTGTTCTGCCTCACCTTTGGCCCACAATAAGGGAACCAACCAATTGTGGGGCTGAAACCTCTGAAATCGTGAGCCACAATAAAGCTCTCTTTAAGTTGATTTTCTCAGGTATTTTGTCACAGCCCAGAAAGTTGACTAACACATACATTTATGTCTTAGCCATGTTTCTTTCTTTTTTTTTTTTTTTCATGGAAATTCACTGTATAGTGTCATTAAGCCAGAGTGGCTTGCCTTCAGATTTTCCCAGGTCATCCTTTGCTTCAGAATGTATTTATTTAGCACATATTGTGGAGATTAAGTGGCTTGGTTAAGGTCAAATCTTTAAAACCAAATACAGTACATAAACATGGAAGATGCCTTGGTCACTCATTTGGAGCTATAATCCCTCATATAAATAATTTCCATACCTAGCATTACCTGGCACGGTTTCTTAATTTTGATTAAGAAATCAGTGGCTTCCAACTATTGCTCCTATATAAAAAACATCCTGATAATCTGCATTCATGTTAGAATATCATCCTATTACAGATACTGATAGAAACTACATTAAAACTAAAATTAAAATACTAGATTGCAACTGGAACTCATTCCAGGATAAAAAACCTTTGGAATTCTTACCAATATCTTTTGAGGTAATCTTTCGCCTTTGTTTCAGGACTGGCTGTGATGCTTCCACTGAGCCAGGAGGAAAGGTAATTTCCCTTCTGATGGGGGGTGGCTGAGGGGGTGGCCCAGTGACCTGGGATGTGGGGACAGTAGGCATGACCTTCGGCATCTTCATGGTGGGCAGAAAGGGAGACTTGCTTGGAGACATGCGGTTTTCCAGGGAGCGCTGGAAGGAAGCTGGGCTGGGTGCCCTGGAGATGTGGTTTGGCAGTGATGGTGGCGTCTGGTAGGATGTCTGAGGTGGGCGTGTGATGGGCTGCATGGAAGCTGAAGATGACATGTAAGGCTGGCGTTGGCTGACATGAGAAGGCCACTGGCTCTCATGATTTATCCTCTGATCAGGTACCATCATATCATCTGTGCGGCTCATCCCTGGATAAGGGGGTGCCTGTGCAGGGCCGCCAGGGCCCTGTCTGTTCTGGTAGGGATAAGGCATATCGTTGCGTGCTGCCCACATGTTCTGCTGAGGCCCTTCACTGGAAGATGATTGCATCGGGCCTCCCATCATCTGAGGTGGGATTCCATGGGGCTGCATCTGGCCTGGGCCCTGTATCCTCTCCCTATTATAGGGATATGGGTACTGTCCCTGCATGGGCCTTCGGTCCGGGCCAGAGTAAGAGCTTCCGTACTGGTTATACATCTCTTGCTGCTGGTTGCCATACTGCATGTTGTACATGTCTCCCTCATGTCGCTTGGCTGGAGGCCCATACATGCCATCCATGTGGCGCTTGTAATTCTGTAATTCACATAAAGACAAATCAAACTGATATACTCTTACAGGTATAACCATACATACTACAATTATGCAATTATAGTTGTTACCTGGTGGAATATTCATCTCAAAATCAGTATGGGAAGCTCTTATATAACCAGGAGAACTAACCTTTTAAGGACTCTACCTCCGTATTATATAAATGCCCTGCCATTTGTTCTGAAGAAGGTTCCTGTGTATTGCTTCCATGTGTTTGAAACTTTACTTGGGAAAAACAAAGCATCCTTTCCTTTGGCTGCCAACGTTGGGACAGCACAGTACTGATGACTGCTGAATGGTCCGATATTGGACAAGGTCTTGAAGTTAAACTAAGATGACTCCCAGGCCAGAAGGATCAGCCTTGCAAGAGTGCACTTAGGGTTCCAGAGCCAGTTTAAGTGACTCCTAGGTTAAAAGGCTATCTTAGGCCTTACTGTACATAAATGTCTACCAACAGGATTCAGCTCTTCTGATTGGGCTGTCACCTGATGTCTATGCTATGGCTCCTGTCCAGATATCCAGCTTGTCTAGCCCGACTCTTTATAAAAACCTTGCTGTTCCTGTCACAGCAGCACCAGTCCCACAGCTCTCCAATGAGGAACCAGGGTTAGTCAAGGTGGGTGAGGGACTCCTGATGGGAGGCATTGATATGTGTATATTTTAGTTTTTTTCTTTCAGTTTACCTGAAAATTGTTTAAGATCAGTGGTTTAATAACAACATACATGCTCCTGAAAAATGTAATAAATGTCTAAAAATTATTTTTGTGATTTAAAAAAATTTTGAAACAAAATCCTCTTACTTTGTAAGAGGTCTCAGACTTGAGAGGTTGTTCAGAAACAGCGAGTTCATGTGTGTCTGAAAAGTCACGGGACAAAGTACAGTTTTTAGCATCAGTTCTGAGAGCTTCAAAGGTGGGGTTTTGTACAACTGAGTTGTGATGGTTACTGTTAACCAGAATGATCTACTTATTTACTCAAAATATGTAGTCATTAATACCTGCTTCTCAAAAGTCGATTTTTACTCTTGTATGTAACATTTTAAGTTGTTTTTTTCTATATATTCATTAAAACATGGATGCATTCCTATCCTAAAGTGGTTTTTAATATAAAATTATACAGTTGCCTTTCATTATCTGTGTTACAGGACTCCTGGACATACCAAATCCAAGTACATCCTCACACATTCATTTTAGTTTATTTCTAAAACTTATAAACCTAATGCAGTGTAAATGAATAAAATATTATGTAAGTAGTTGTCATCTATACTGCTTAGGGAATCATGAAAAGGCAAAAAATATGTCCATATTCTTTATAGATGCTTTTTTTTTTTGGTAACAGGGATCAAACCCATGACCTCACACTTGACAGGCAGGTACTTACACCACTGAGCTAAATCCCCAACCCCAATATGCAATATTTTTAAAGAATATTTTAAAATACTTTTATCTATGGTTGCTGAACCACGATGCAGAACCTGTGGATACAGAAGGCTGATTGTGCATAACACATGCATGCTTGTGATATGCTTCACTTTAGTTTGGGCTTGGCATTATTCACAAGAATGCATGTATTTAACTTCCTACAACATGTTACATATATTTCAGAATAATATATGTGAAGAACTGTTTTTAATTTGCTGATTTCAAAATTCCATGAGTATTTTCTAGCACTACACAGCCTGAATGTTCAATAAATGTTAATCATTTTTGGAATAATTCCTAACATAATTCTTTTTTCAGAGCACAAGTTTGCGTTCTAGCTTCTAGGAGACAAACACACGACTCAGAGACCCACACCCACCTGCCCACTCACCGGCTGCTGTGGATACAGGCCAGGCTGGTGCGCTCCATACGGTGGCTGTCCTGCAGGAGGACCTTGGCCTGGATACTGCTGCCCATAAGGTTCATGCCTAGAACAAGGCATTCAGAGAAAACTTAATTTTCAGAGGATTCCAGGCAAACAGGGGCATGAACAATCCATTTCTGGAAACTCTACCCCAACGGCTTTGTCTTTTCTTCACCACATGCGGCTCCTTACAGGCACTCCCTGTGTGGCAGCTGCACTGGAACTCCTAGTGAGAGGGATGGGAACACCCTTTGGGAGTGGCCTCAAACTCTTGGGTCGGCTGTTGGTTAATAGGTGTCAGAGGAATACCGGTTGAACAGGCAGGCACCCTGCGAGCACTTGTCTAAGCCATTAGCCTCTGCCTTTGAGGCAGAAACCCCACCTATCCACTAAAGTTTACTGTACCAAGTACTACACAATGCTGTCAGGTGAGGCATTGATGAAAGGAAGATTCAAAGAGAATCTAGGACTTAAAGCAGTATTTCTAGAAGTACCAGAACATGGAAAATATTTCTACTTTTCACATTCTCATTATGAATATAAAATGCTTAAGTTTTTAAAGGTGTACTTCAACATTAATTCCAATGATGCTGAGTTAGCTAATAATTATTACATTTAAAAAAGTACCTACATGGGCTGGGGATTTAGCTCAGAGGCATAAGCACCTGCCTAGCAAGTATGAGGTCATGAGGTCGTGAGTTCGATCCCTGGTACCAAAAAAAAAAAAAGTACCCACAAATTTCAAAGTTCTGTGACTAAAAAGGCTACAGAATAGAATAGGAACAATGATTTAAGTATCTCCTGTTAAATCCAAACATAGACATGAATAATATAAATTGGGGAAAAAATAAAGCGCCAGGCATGGTGTTATACACCTGTAATCCAAGCCCTTGGGATGCTGAGGCAGAACTATTTTGGGTTTCAGGCCAGCCTGGTACATAGTAAGTTCAAGGCCAGCCTGAACTATATAGTGAGACCGTCTCAAAAAAAAAAAAAAAAAGAAAAAGAAAAAAAAAAAAAAAAAAAAAAAAAAGAACATTGCAACTATTTTTTCCACCACTACTCTACTGAGAAATAAGAAAGCATCGAATTACCAGATTTTTGGGATAGGGATGTATTTCAGTGGTACAACACCTGCCTAATACATGTGAGGTTTGATTTCACCAGCATGGTGTGTATATACATATATATATATATATATCCACAGAGAAGGGCAATGGACTAGGGATTGTGAAATATAAACTGATTAATTTAGTAATAATCTTTTATGAGAGAATAATTGGATTAAACCTATTCCTAATCTGACCAAGTAATAAGGAAATGATTTTTTTTAGACTATTATATATAAGACACATGGGAAATTTTTGCTAACTACCATGATTACTTAGAAAGAATTTATAGTTTGAAAGAAAGAAATACAGTATAATTGACATGAAAACATTTTAAGCTGAAGAAGTAATATTTCTCTGAAGACAAAACTTAATGAGGTAAATCTCTCTCTAATGTTGTTGAATCAAAATAACTTTTAAGCATAGTCTATGCAGTGCTTCAGGAAGCATTGTAGAAGGAACAGAAAAATAGACTTAATTGAGATCCTTTAAGAATACTTGACCTGAAACAGAAGCAAGATATCCCATGTGTAGGTACAAATTCCCTATGATGAATGCTATCACTACGTATATCTAAAATGCAGCAATGGCTGGGGATTTAGTTCAGCAGCACAAGCGTCTTCCTGGCATGCACAAGGTCGTGAGCTTGATCCCCAGTACCAAAATAAAATGCAGCAATTAAAAAATAGAATACATGTTCTAATACAGTCATTCTTCTATCTCATGACCAAACAACACCAACAATTCAGCAGCTTTTCCTGGACTTACAACTAAATCAAACCAAACTGCCCAGTTTCTGCAAACAGAGACCCAAAAGGCAGGTGTGTCCTTGCCTGCACACCAGTGTGGCCATGGTAAAGAAAAGGGTACCCTCCTATGCCTACACATTTTCCCCCTTAAAAATAACAAATGTTATATTCAAATCTTGCTTTGAGCATTTCCCTTAGTGTGGAGGCACAGAACACAGCAACACAGGAAGGGCTTTGTAACAAATGAGAATTAAACCTGGGGCATAGGTAAGGGGTCTCTTCACAAATGAAGCCCCACACTATGCCATCAGTGCAGGATGTCATTTCTGATGAATTCTCCAGATCATCTCAATGATCCTCCTGTCACCTATCTGACTAAAACCAACCAGTTGGGTTGGTGCTAGGCTGCCTCGTCACCTCCATGTCAAGATGGATTCCTTTGGAGAGGCTATCTAAAACTGCAGCCCCTGAAACCCTTTCTAGAAGACTGAGAGATGAGTTGGCTACCATGACAGACATTCCCAAGGGATGCAGGGGAGGGAAGGACCTGTGCTGGTAGCTCCCAGAGAAGTCACATTTGGCTGTAGCTGAGTCACCTCATTGTGACCACAGTGGCTGCCTCACACAGGGAAGTGGGTGCTGGCTGCACTGGTGTGGAGTACTTGGGGGCAGACCTGTCTCTTGTATTCTTGGGGAGAAGATGCCTCCCTTAGCTAGGCCAGTCCTTGAAGCCTCATTCATGCTTCAGAGCACTAGCATGTAAAAGCACATGTGACTGGATGTGATGACGCAGTCCCAGCATTTTAGAGGAGGCTGAGGCAGGAGTATTTGTAAGTTTGAGTTCTGGCTGGGAAACTTAGCAAGATCTGCACCAAAATGAAAAATGGTTGGGGATATTGCTCAGTGCAAAGGCTCTGGGTTCAATCCTCAGTACCATACAAAACAGAAAACAAACAACTGAAAAAACACAGAATCATCTGGCTGCCTGGAAACAAGGGCCTTCTTCCTGGCACGTTGCAGCCTTCCACTGACGGAAGCAACCTAACTCATCAGATCAGTAGCATCCTGGCAGGAAAGGCCACTGTGTTGCCATCAGAGGCTCAAATGTGGGTGAGAGAAGTACACTTTCCAGTGAATCATCTTACCTTTCTTTCGAAAAGTACTCACCTTCGGTCATAACTTGCCCCATAGGGAAACTGCTGCCTCTGCCCCATCCCCAGATTGGACATTGCTCCTGAGGGACTTTGGTTATACATGTCCTGCATGCTGCTGTTGGGCATCTGTCCTTGAGTCATAAAGGGCTCACTGCTTCCAGGCACTGAAATATTTGAAATAAGAGGCACAAAATAAAGTATTTTCAAAGGCCAAAGGACTCATGTATTTCTCCTGATAATTTCTGTGTTCTCTGTCCTGAGCTGACCACACTGCCAGTGAGACACCATAAAGCCTAGAGTCAGATGGGTCCTACGGGAGCAGAATCTTAAAATGGCCCCAAACACACTCTGCTTGCTCCAGTACATATCTTGATGAGCCCCCTGACTTGTGTCTGGGGAGAATTTAGGAACGTGATGGGCTCTGTGGCCTCATGACTCTGGGCTGTTATGTGGCAAGAGGGATTTCATGGATGTAACTAAAGTTACTAATCGACTGACTTTGATTCCAGGAAAGGTAGAGTACTATATCCAGAGACCCTTTTCATCAGCATTTACAGCTGAGAGATGGGGTTACTTCAAGGCCTTTTCCTACTATTCTTGAAAAAGTGACAACCATGCTTTACAGAGGACCACATCACGAAAGGCAGGGGTGGACAGTCAACAACAACAAAAAGCCACTTGGACCTACAAACAATTTACTAACAATCTGAATAAATGCAAAGAAGCCTGACGCCTCAGAGGAGTTCTTGCTCTTGGCCAAGACCTTGACTTTAGTAGGTGGACCCTGAGTAGAGGCCCTAGCCACGCTGTGGGACTCCTGGTCCATATGCTGGGAGAATGTATCTCTGCTGTCTCCAGCTGCTGAGTCTGTGGGCATCTGTTTGGCAGCAATATGGAAACTCATACAGGCCTAAATCTATTTATTACCAATGAGACAAGTCATTAACTTCTAAGTCTACTTCTTGTGTTTAAAATAAAGTCCGGCATAGCAACTCGAAGTGATGGTGATAAGACATGAAATTATGTATTCAAAGTTAGTTTTCTTTCTTTATAGGAAAAAACCTGAAAACATCAACATACTCATGCATGGACATACTTCAAAATCAGCATAAAAATAATTATAAGAGCAAAATACAGCTCAAGATGGTATAAGAGAGACAATTTCTAAAAGATGGTAGAGTGTAAATGAAGTTCTATATGCAAAGTAGCATCAGCTCAGAGCCTAAAGGAAAGTGGGTCAAGTCCAGAAACTAGCCCACAGGCAAATTAAACATTTTAATACATGTAAACTGTTATTGATGTATGATATTATTACCTCTCTTCATTCTATGTCGTGTGAGGTAAAAGTGAATTAAAATTTATGCCCCAATGAATTTGTTAGGCTGGCAGTAAGGCAAATGCCAGACATGGAACAGTGCCTGTCACCGGGAAGTGTGTTTCCGCCCTCTTTACCTTCTGATCTCATGGCAGCTTGTGGTAGAACCTGTTTGAAATTACTTTCCATTTTGTAGATATGAAAACAGAAATCAAGTGTGTCTAGTTAAGTAGCTCAGTTCCCTAATTCATAGAGTTCTTAAAAATCAGAAAAAAGGACAACAAATTAAAAGTGGACAAACCTATTCACAGAAAAAGAACACTAAATGGCTACTCAATGAAAAGGTATGTGACCTTATTAATAAAGAAACCCTTGTTAAAACAATTATGAGGGCTTTTTACTTTTCTTGGTCAATCTAATTGGCAAATATAAAATGACTCTATTACTCATTTCTTAGTAAGATAATGAAAACTCACACATTTGCAGACACTCTTGCTGACAGTATTAAGTTGGTACAACCTTTATCAGTACTTGCCATGGGAATCTTTCACACCCTAAAGAGCACATCTACCAGCATTCACAGCCTGTGAAGTCCCTCCCCAGGACTCTGGGCAGGGTCATGTGACTATTGATCAAAAGAACTCTGGTAAATGAATGGGTGCAAGCAGAAGTGCAAAAGAGCTTACAACTAGGATATGACTTCTTGCAAGCTTCCTAAGTCCTACCCACAGTGCCATGGGCACCCAAGAAATTACGTGGAAAGGCCCGCTGGGGCAGGTCATTATCAAAATGCCAGAAGAGTCCCCAGGGGAACTGCTTATGACATTGGCCACTCAAGGGACAAACTGGCAGCAGTTTCAGTGCACTGGCCAACAACACAAGGTGTGAAAAACTATACAATCTATCACAAACTCTTAAGACAGAATTAAGTATTGCTGTTTAGAGCCACTAAGTTTTGAGGTAGTTTGCTATACCAGATGACTGACTTAGTACAAGCAAAAAAAATTCTATCATTTGACTGAATAAATCTATTTCTAGGAATCTATTTCATGGGAATACCCTATCAGTGTTACTTCAACAATCCCTACATTTCTGTTTGGAACAACAAAATACTCGGAAACAACCCATCCAGTACTAGAGCATTAGGATATGGCATTCAATTAAAAACACTGCTCTGGGGCCAGGAATTTAGCTCAGTGGCACAAGCGCCTACCTGCCAAGTGTGAGGTTGTGAGTTCAATCTCCAACCAAAAACAAAAAAACAAAACACCATGTTATGCCTAGAATCTAGTAGACTAATATGTACATATATTAACAGATATGAAAATATAGTTTAATTAAATAATACATAAAATGTTACGTTCACTTATGTACCATTCGCCGACAGTATCTTGGTGAGGTAAAGAAATGAGCAGAGTGCCACAGGCAGGTGAATAGGCAGGGCCAGCTCCTGACTGTCAGATTCATCATGCTACCACAGCACAGGCTAGCGACATCCACACCAGCCACCTACTCAGTGACAGCAACAACAAAAAGCTGCTTTCCACTGATGTTTTCCACTGCTGTTCTAATCAGAGCACTGTCAAGTTCACTGACAGAAAACTATCACAATAGGGATCAGGGAGTAAGTTTATCTGTTTTAATTTGGTAGCAAATACACTAATATTGTAAGATAGGAGATGAACTGAAATATACTAGGGATGGTCACTTACTAGTCACTTACATAGTCAATGAAAACAAATTATATAACCATGGGGTGCTAATAAGGTAACTCCACAATTATTTCCCACCCCCAAATTCGTTTTTATAAGAACAATCATAGACATAAGAACACAAAGCAACTCAAATGTAGTTGTCTACCACAGCACAGAGGCAGGATACTGAGATGGCTTACAATAGATGAGCTCCAGTGGCGCAATCGGTTAGTGCGTGGTACTTATATGGTTCACAATAGATTTTGAGGCCAGATTCCAAATATTACTAATTATTTTTTGGTCTGTTATAATATTTTCAGTCTAAATATGGGATACAGATACAAAAAGCACAAAACATTCTCTTTAGCATCTAGTACTACTAAGAAAAATAGCTACCTCTAACATTGGCAAAGTTTTTGACTCTGAGTTTAGATATTTACTGCATGTTCTGTAAAATCTTTATTTAGAATAAGCAGCCCTGAAGCCCCTGAAAGGAAAAAATTATATTTGTTTTGTGAAAGTTATCTGAATTATATATAAAGTAATTATAAATCTAAGTTGTTTAGTGGTACATACCCAATATTGAAAGTTTTGAGATTCATTTTTATTTCTCATTAGTTCCTATTTGTGAAAGATGAGGCTTTGAACTTTATGTTTCTCTTTACTCAGACAGTATAACAAGAAATTTATGTACCTCAACATCCAAATAGCACATAGGTACCATTATTTAAGGGATACCAGAATAAGTACTTCCATAAAATTATTATTCGTGCTTTCTGTATTTTTTTTTTCAGTAAAATTCACATCATACTTCAATTTCATAGAACCCAACTGCATTTGAAAGGATGTCAAAAAGCAAACTACCAGGTTTCTAACTGAACTGATCTGCCGAGGGAGGAGATAACAGGCAGTGGCTCAGCCGCTATCTCAGAGAAGAGAGCCTTAGCAAGCATAAGGGAGTAGACTACCTATCTCCTAATGTCACCAAACTCTTCTACACTTTCTTTTTCAATGAGCTCACTAATCCCACTGTGGCAGATATTGTTTCTATGCTCAGTGGTCTAAAATCACAGCTAATTTGAACCTCTGTCCAATTTCTAGACATGTAGAGCACTACCCAGCAACTTAATCTCCCTCTAAATCCTGCTCCTTCCCCAGCTGTCCTCATTGCACCAGGCCTGTTTTTCCATCACCACTGAGCTCTGCAGCCCCAATGTCCAATTCACTGGTACTTCTAAGACACGAAACAATGGTCCTTTCTCAACTGCTGGTCTTCAAGTCCAAAGTGTTGTCTCTTTCCCTAAACTACTGTACCTCCCCAACCTCCCATCCATCCTCAACTTTTTCAATGCATGCTGCATAGTGGCCAGTTATTATTTATTTTCACAAAAATCAAAACCATCTCATTTCTCCATATAGCATCTCTTACCTGGTTGAAAAACTCAAACTTATCGATTTGCTATAAAGACTGAAAGACTGTGGCCCCAAAATGGCCAATATTCTCAGCCTATGTGCCCCATGCTCACTATACTCTAGGTACTTGTTCCCTCTTGCTAGGGATCCAGCCCTCTCTGCTTGTCATCATCCTCACTCTCAGGTCACAGGAGATAACTGCCATCTTCTCAGAGTCCTCCCTTCTGACTAGCTGATCTCCTAGGATTCCCTGCTCCTACTGCTACACTGAGCACCACTGCTACCAGTATCCTTTTTTTCACTTTTTCTTTCTTCTGTCAACCATGATCTTTTTTAAAAAATTTTCGTTTTTATCAGTACCAGGGATCGAACTCATGACTGCTCACTTGCAAGGCAGGCGCTTATGCCACTGAGCTAAATCCCCAGCCCCAACCACGATCTTTTATTACACATTTGTAGTGAAGTTAATTTGGGTATTTTTATTTCCCAAGACTCTGCTAGTTGAAAATAGGGAATATGTGTGATTTACCACTATGCTACCTAGCACCCAGCACTATCCTGGCTCACTCTGACACAACCACAATATTGGTGATGCCAGATCACACAAATGCGTGCTTTCACCAGTGGCTGCTCATCACTCTTCCACAGTCCATGTGTGCATGGCTTTAACTAATCCTCACAATACCTTTGAAGCAAGCCTTGTTATTTTCCCAATTTTTGGGTGAGGAAAGTAAGGCACAGAGATGCTAAATACTTTTTTCCAAAGGCACAGACTTAGGGTAGCAATGTGAGAGCTGTGGAACCTCAAGACACTCTGAACGAATAGTTGTACTGGTTAAAAGCAGCAGACAGGTGACACCCCTGGACCATACCTTTTCTCATTCCCCCAAAGGGGTCCTTGTTGGGTTCATAGGGCATCCTTCCCATCATGTCTGGCATGCTCATGCCTTGTTGGTATGGGGCATTTGGAGTCATAGAATTCCTTTTTGGAAACGATGAATCACTCACATCTGAGAATGGGTCATGCACACTGATTGTACTGCTTCTGAAGAGATAAAAAATGAAAGCTTAATGATATAGCAGGAGTTACTTCCAAAATACTAGAAAATAAACCAGTCTTGAAGTCTATAAATGTAAAAGCCATCCAACATAAATTATATGAGTAAAACTAGTACTGATCAACATTTAAAAACTCAATAGGGAAAATCATTTTTATTTTCTATGAAGTTTGCTCCAGAAAAATCAAAAGACAAAACAAATCTGATTTTATATGGTTCATGGAGTTCTATGAACATACCTTCCACCTTGCATTGGAGCAATTTGTCCATGAGGGGTGGAAGCTGGGGTAGGGGGCTTCAGGTCACCTGGAACCTCTGCCATGGAATTGCTGCCTGTTGACTGCGGCGTCTGCGGGCCTTGCAGGGATCCTGAGTTAGCTGACAGGTCAAGGGATAGGGGAGGGAGAGAAACCGAGGATATTAAGGAAGTTCATTCTTATAGTTACATATGCAAAAGCAACAGAGACACTAACGTTTATTGTGGATTACAATGTAGTAAAATGATGTTATGCTGTTTATGGTAAAAATTAGTGTGAGTGTTTTTGGATGTGTTTATGGGCAGGACATTGAACCTAGGACCTCACACATGCTAGGCAAATGCTCTACTACTGAACCTCAGTCATTAGTAAGATTTCTGAGTAAAATATTTAGAAATATACTTCATTTGTAAGCTATAAAACATATTTAAATCTTTTCATAGGATAATTATTTTTCCTAGGATAAGTGTTTAACCCAAAAATAATCTATTGAAAAGAAGGTGTTAGGATTAAAATGTTTATTTCAGTGTTGTCTGTATTGCAGATGTTGAATGTAAATAAAGAGGATAAAGTTTTGGTACCTTGACTATTTGGTATGGACTATCGTGCTGTCTTAGAAAAAAATTTAGAAAACTTAAGCTCCTAGTCTTGGGCAATGAGAAGTGTTTAGTTGAAAAACAGTAATATAAAACAATATTGTGTCTTATGTTATTTTAATAGTATCCCAAACCTGGATGTTTATTATCTATTCTCTCTCCCTCCCTCCTTTCTGCTTCCTCTCTCTTGTCTCCCCCTCACCCCCCAGTACTGAGGATTGATCCTAGCTTTTTTGTGCATGCCAGGGAAACACTCTACCAATGAGCTACATTCATGGCCTTAACATGATTGTTTTTTGAGCTATGAAATCAGTACTTTTTTTTTTTTTTTTGTCTTTTTCGTTTTTATAGGTACTGGGGATCGAACTCACGATTGCCTGCTTGCCAGGCAGGCACTTATGCCGCTGAGCTAAATCCCCAGCCCAATCAGTACTTGTTTTTAAAAAACGGAAATCATACTGGGTTTGAGTTCTTTAATGTTGCTGTTGGGTTGCAGGTATTTCAGAAGACAGACAAATGCCTGCTTACTATGATTGCATTATAATAACAGATCAGCATTGAGCAGTCTTTTCAAAACTCAATGGGACTTTGGAAAAATTAATTTTGCAAAACAATGTAATTTTTGGTCTCCTAGCACATCCCTTAGTGTGTTAGTTGTGCAAAACTTACTTGTTTGGTTTACTGATTAAACAAATACCTACTGCGTGAATAATGGGCCTGCTGTATCTCAGGGTCCTAATACCTGGATATAAAAGTCTAGCTAACTGACAAGATCTTTTGCCCTCACTGAGAACACAATCAACAATTTAAAACAGAAACCAATACAGAATTCCTGTTAATGAAATTAACAAGTTGCCATGTTACTAGTTATGCTTCCTTTCTTCTGAAGTGCCCAAGCCTCACTAAATTACCACTGTTCACATTTTACCTCTGAGGAAATGGAGGTTAAACAAGCCCTAGATTACAGAGTAGACTGGGGAGTCAGAACTAGAAATGAGTATCACATCTACTTAGCAAGTCTCAGCGAGGTACAGACATTTCAGACATTTCTAGCCGGATCAGGGCTGCTACACTCTGGTCGGATGTGTGACACTGCTCTGTGTGCTTGAGACTTGACACTCAGGGAAATTCTCAGACAAATGCAGGTATTTCAGAAGAAAGACAAATGCCTGCTTACGTATCAAACTGGTGAAACCCCAAAAATGCGTATTAAAAAGGTAGAGTGGGTATAAATACGTAGGGATAACCCAGACATGACTACACACATAGTGCTACAGATGAGAAACTATTGCTTCTTAAATCAGGCACAGAGTCCACATTAGCCTGGCCAGCTTCCCTGGAAACATGGCTTATGAGACTGATTTTGGAATGACCCTTATTTACAAGTATTCACATTTACAAGTAATAAAAAATTTTTTTTCCCTCTTGCCCATGGTTTTCTTTTCCTTTCAGGCAAAAACAAAAACAAAACAAAAAACCTGAATGTAACTTCTTGGAACTTCATTACTTCTATTACTAGAGGAGGCTGGCATGCTCTCTAGGACATCCCTATCTTTTGCCAGAAGCTACAAATGTATACTCTAAAGTAAACAATGGAAAGGTTACTTAAGGTTAAGCACATTCACAAACTTCAGACAGAAGCGCCAGGCTTCTAGCTGGGAAGGTAATTTACGCAGCAGGAACCTGGTGCCCTAGTTCTGGCAGGTAGGGGGTTGAAGGCTCGTGGGGAGTAGGTTTGGGGAACAGCTGATATCTCCCAGCTCTAGTGAATAGAGGTCAACCAGAGGGCACCTTTGTTTATATCCAACCCTGTTTCTCATTTATCTTCCGCTGAGGATTCCCTAGTTGGATTCATGACAGTTTTTGTGACATCATCTGTCAGCTAATAATAGAAATTCAGTCAGCCACCTGCTAGGAAAGATGGATGGGTTTTTGGTTACAGACTTACAAACTGAAAGTGGAGCTTCCTTGTCCCTCCCTGTGGCCTCTGAACTCCCTCCTCCCCTCAGTGTGAGGAGATCCCACAGGTGCTTTAGAGATACAGCCCATACCCCAAGCCTAGATTCTTTTTGCCTAACCTGGTGGTCCAGCATGCCTCTGCAATGTGGCCCCAAAGGTGAAGGATGGTATGTCTATCGTGATGAACCATAATGAAGTCTGGATCCATAGAAGCTGTGTCAGATCAAACCAGACCAGAGACACATGACCGGTGGTGCTTTTAGAATACAGCCAAGTGATTTAGGATTGCAGTTGGTTTAGAAACCATTCGCAAAAATTCAGAATGTTTCTTATGAGTCTTTTTAGTTTGCCTGACTGTGCTAATAAGGACAAACTATAATTATATTCTTAGGGTAAGCTATTATATAATTTAAAAAACGATTTTCATCAAAAACCACTTATTTTTGATGGAAATTAGTTTTTAAAGATTATATAACTGAGAACCTGACATGGAAAACAGGAATAATTTATGTCCCTTTTTTGACAATAAAAATGTGTCAGAGACACTTTCCTCTGTGTTGGTCCAAGATTAAGAGAAGTTACCTGATGGTGTGCGTGGGGTGGAAGATCTGGCTTTGGACTATAGATAGGGATTCTGATGTTTACTACCTACTGTCTGGTCTTTGTGAGGACTGGAGCACTCTGCAGGTTCGGCACTGACTTCATAGTCAAGACCAGGAGATTTATTTCTACTACCTCCTATGTTACAGGAAGGACCACAGCTCCATCTGAACCAAGAAGTGCATAAGCAATCCAGTCTCTTTTGTGCCATTAAAATGATAATCCTGCCATAAAGGCAGCAGTTTAGAAAAAGGGGAAAGGAAAGCGCCAGCTATTAGGAGAACAAGGCCTCTGCTTTCTGGAGGATCTGTGCCTCGGCAGGGCTTCCTGTACCAGGGCTGAGGCACACTGTGAGAGCTATTCTCCATGCACAATTGCAGACCATTCAGGGACACAAGTTCTTTCCTGGCAAATAAAATACATCCTTAGATCTTTGCAGACATCACCACTTTGGTCTCTGCACCCTACTGGGTTTTTATTTTGGAAAAATAGTTTCAGAGCTGTTCACAGGCAGCTTCTTTCATTCTGTCAACTGAATATAATGTGTGATTTTAAAAATTCTATTTCTCAGTTTTTCAGGTGTACCCTAAGTGGCAAAGACCTAGAATCCTGAAGGGTAGGTTAGTGTGGAGGAGGATTTCTCTCTATACTTGGAATTTAAGATCCAAAGTAAGATATATTCACTGCAAGTGTGCTTTTGGGCATATATATATTTGCATGAGCCGCTCTGATTGGCAAGGGCAGCCTGGTGACTGAGAACAGCTAGAGAAACCACTAAAAGGGAAATTACTTCCTTTTCTGGCTTTTAGGCATAAACACTTGATCTGTCATAAAAGCACTTACAGACAGGACCAGTGGCCAAACACAGACTGAGAATGGAGGCATTTACCTGCATTAACTCACCATGACAAACTAAGGACAATGCCAATTTATTCCTGCCACTAGTATCACCATTTTCAGTATATATGACTTGGGAATTTCTAATTTGAAATATCAGTAGAAAGAACAAAGGCCAGTAAGAGAGCTCTAAGGAATGACAGACAGGTCTCCAACAGCAAGGTAGAGGGGCAGGAGGTATGACATGATGCCTTTTTTTGGCTTTGGCCTGGGACACAGTTGATTGGCATTTCAGAAACAGGTTGAAGGAGTCCTTACCATGATAACTCATAAAATTCCTTCAGTGAGAACTTGCTGGGCCGGGGATACAGAAAAAGTCTACATTTTGTTTGTTAAAGTATAAATCTGTCCTGGACTAAGGAAAGCTGGCCCAACTACGTGTTAGGCCTCCAAGATGGCACTGTCAAATTAGATGGAATATCCAAAAATTCTTGTATAGGAATAAAGGCATACAGCTCAGAATCCAAAGTTTAATTTGATTAAATAAGTTAAAGCAAAAGAAGAGTGCCTTCAAAGTGCTGACTGCAAATGGTAATATCCCAAATCTTATTTTTTATTCCTTAAAGCACTACAAAGAGGAGATCCAATCACATAACAAAATAAGATGCCACTCGCCCTGTAAATCTGAAGTCCTTTCTCAGCTTTACTTCTCTTACCTCCCTGCACAGCTGTTCAGGCGCCAGCTCCTGCCAAGCGCTGCCTTTAGCTCTCCAGGCCGAGCTGTAGCACTGCCACTTACCAGGAGATGGCGGCTGAAGCTTGGGCTGCTTCTTTGTATCCCCTGTGCTGAAGACTTCTGGTGGGGGCTCCTCCCCTCTTTCAATCTTGCACTCAAAGGCAAATAGGTACTGAATATACTGCTTTTTCAGGGAGCTTGCTGCGCTGCTTGAAGTGCCAACATTTAGGTTGGTTGCCAGCTCACGCCACTTCTTGTTTTTATTAACCTAGAAAAAAAAGGGCAGGATCATTGGTTTGCAGCAGAATGGCTTGTTTAAAGCCAAGAGACAAAAAAAGCTCTTGGTTTACTTTTTTTCATTTGCCTCTTTTAACGAACGTTCATTATTCCCACTCAGTAGTGCACAGACAGCATTCACTCTTATAAAGTCATTAAGGACCTGCTGATCACCACTGAAAGGCACTTGCCAGTCTTCTGCTGGCTGCATCTCCTAGCACCTCACACATGCTCTTCTTGAGCTGTTCCTTGAGCAAATGGACATGCCTGCTCATATTCATTGATATCCTACCACTAATTAAGAAAAGTGTCTAAAAACTAATTTAAAGAGCAATGAATGCACTGTTTTGCAACTTAAGTATTTGAATACTGATATGAAAAGGGTGCTTCTTCCCACCAGGTGGCCTATAATACAGGCTGTGTCCTCACATGGTCTCCTTAGAGCAGTGGTGGTGAACCTATGGCATAGGTGCTGAGGTAGGGTGTTTATCACTGAAAACTCTAAAAGCTTTGCCATCACTGTTCCAAAGGCTTCTGTGGCATGGGCAAAGGTGGCACTGGATCAAAGGTAGATGAGACTTCTTCATCAAATACTGCAACTAAAATCCCAACACAGTGCCATCACTCCCTGCAGGGGCTGTTTCTCCATTATGTCAGCAGCCAGGGCAGGGACATGTCTTTATTTTTTAAATTTTTTGGTAACGGGGATCAAACTCATGATGTTGCACTTGCCAGGCAGGTACTTATACCACTGAGCCAAATCTCTGGCCCAACAATATTAATTTTTTTGTGTTTTTTTTATCAGTACCGGGGATCAAACTCAAGACCACATGCTTGCAAGGCAGGTGCTTATGCCACTGAGCTAAATCCCCGGCCCCAGAGACATGTTTTTATGTTACACGTGTTATGCAAGACTATTTACTTTCTGATTCTACTCAAGCTGGAAATACCACCATTGCAAGGGAGAGGAAGTAGAGAGGTGAGAGATTCAGAAATGTTATGTAAAGATTTGGGGCATTATTTTAGCCTTTTCATTTCTACTTGGGGACAGGTTATAGAAGGTTAAACACATGAATGAAACATGAAGGCAAATATTTTGGGGAAGGCTATGTGTGCCTTTTGATGTCTGCTCTGTTGCATAACACGGAAATAGTTAAAGGGACAGTGATTTTTCATGAAGTATTTTCTTTCATGGTCATCTTTATGTCTCTAGAATATCTTTGAGTATTCTCTGTAGGGCTGGTTTGGTGGTCATGAATTCCTTCAGTTGTTATCATGGAAGTATCTTATTCTTCCATCAATTTTGAAAGATAGTTTTGCAGGGTACATCAATCTGGGTTGGAAGATGTTTTCTTTTAGGGTTTGAAACACTTTACTATACACTCTTCTTCACTTGATGGTTTATGTTAACAAGTCTGTCATGATTTTGATTGGTTTTCCTTTATAGGTGATCTGTTTCTTTTCTCTAACAGCCTTTAATATTCTGTTTTTGTGCTCAGTTTCTAGGATCTTGATTACTCATGTCTGAGTGTAGATTTATTTTGGTTACGGCTAGCTGGAGTTGTAGATGCTTCACATATCTGTACACCAGGTCCTTTTCCCATGTTTGGAGAGTTTTCTGTAAATAGTCTTTTTATGTCATTTGTCTTGGCCCCTGCTCTTTCATTGACACCTATCATCTTAAATTATTTTTCTTTGCACTGTCTTGCTGTCATTGATTTGTTATTTCCTGTTCATTGTTACTTTTAAAAAAAATTTTATTTAAAGAAAGACTAAACGAAACAGAAAAGAGGTAGAAATAATACATACATTCAGAGAAAAAATAAACAGTAAGAAATCACTAGTTGATGTTTACATATTGTTTTATAAATAGTTGTTCAAGATACAAAAATGGAAATGCAAAGTGGGAATTCAAACAGCGAAACTGCAAACAGTTCTGCTCAACTGTCCAACAAAAACTTAGTAACATGGTTGTCAATCATATACACTTAAACATACATACAGTTATCCATATCTTCATTTATGTTTAGATTAAACAGACTAAAGCAGGTTAAAATCATTCTGAACAAAGACTAATAGTACCGCTGGATTTCACATCATGACACTCCGTGATCAGCACTGGGTACTGTAGTGTCTTTTTTTTTTTTTAAATTTAAAGTAAGACTAAACAAAACAGAAAACGGGTAAAAATAATACATAATTTTAAAGAATAAAATAAACAGTAAGAAATCACTAGCTGATGATTACAGATTGTCTCCTTATAAATAGTTATTCAAGATACTAAAGTTGAGCATATCAAGTGGGGATTCAAACAGTCAGATTGCAACCAGTTGTTTAACTATTCTACAAAAACTTAGAAATACGGTTATCAATCCTATACACTTAAACATTCATGCAGTTATGCATATCTTCAATTATGTTGAGACCGAACAAACCCAAATAGGCTAATATCACTCTGAACAAATAAAAATACTATTGCTGGGTTTCACATTATGACACTCCAGGATCAGCCCTGGGTATTTTAGTGTCTCTTTTTCTTCAAAGTATCTATTCATTTCATCATGTGTCATAAGATCAGTTCTCATAAACTGTTTATAGATTCTATAATGCATGAGTTTTAACATGTATTTCTATCCTTTCTATATTGGAGGGAGAAACAAAACAAAGCAAGACAAAACAAAATGTATTCCTATAAACACATGAAACCAAAAAAACATATAAGACCGTTGTACATACAAAGAGTTCTATCACAGTTTCTGTGTTGCCTCGTTATCTTCAATAAAATTGGCTATATCACCAGACATAGTATAATTGAATATATTGGTACATAACAGTAGTAATAAAAACACAACTTTGAATATAATATAGAACTTCAAAAACTGGCAGTTATCAAACCAGAATGTGTATCATTGTTGTCATCTTCAGTGTAGCTGCCTATACTCTCAGACTTGATACTATCAATCATATCAGTTTTGAATAAAATCTTCTGTCCCATTTTTGTTATGCTCTTCTTTTGCCATCAGTTGTCTGCATATCTTCTTCATTCTGTTTTCTGTTTCATTCATTGAGGCCTCTTTGCCATTGTTCCTGGAATCCTGGTACTTTTCTCTCTCTCTAGAATGCCCTGCAGTATTTTCTGTAGAGTTGGATTGGTGGTTGCAAATTTCCCAAGTTCCTCTTTGTCTTGGAAGCATCTTGTTTCTCCATTAATTTCTAGAGACAGTTTAGCAGGGCTGGAGATCATCTTCTTTCAAGGCTTGGAGTATTTCGCTCCAGGTTCTTCTTGACTTGATGGTTTGTGTCGAGAAGTATGCCTTTTTTTCTCATGGGCCTTCCTTTATAGGTTATCTGTTTCTTGTCTCTAACCGCTTTTAATATTCTGCTCTTATATTGAATTTCTGGGATCTTGATTATTATATGCCTGGGTGTAGCTCTGTTTTGGTTGTAGGTGGCTGGAGTTCTGCATGCCTCATACATCAGAATATCATTTTCTTTTCCTATGTTTGGGAAGTTTTCCTTAATTATTTCTGTGAATAACCTCTGTGGTTCCTTTATTTGTACCCCTGCTTCTTCATTCACATTCTTTATTCTCAAGTTATAAATCCTCTTGTCATCTTCTAGCCTTTGTATTGTTACTGTTTGTTTCCTTGTTAATTTAAAAAAGTGTTCCCTTTCACAAATCCCACACTGCAAAAATTGTCCTCCGGTTTGGATAATCTATACTTAGTTTCTTTCAAGCAGATCTGCCATCTTTCCACACAGTTTTTAATTTCCTGGTAATCTCTTTGAATCTGCTTCATGTATTTTATATTTTCTTTATATTCTTCATCAATGGTTCTCTCCTTTGTCTGAGTTCCTCCCTTTTGTCTGTGCTGCTTAAGGGGTGCTTGGTATCTCTTTTATCAATCTTATATCTTGCTTTATTTGGCTAAATATCTCACTTTTGAACTCATAAGGTCCCGAATATATCTTTTATGTCCACTCGCACGGTGTCTGATATTGCATGTTTGCTTTTTTCATTCTCCTTTGTATTTACCTGCCCTGGGTCAATGTTCTCAGAGTTGGGACCTGGGGACTTTTACTTGTTGCTTCCTCTTCCCATCTTTTTTGTTTCTTTCAGGAGGCCCCAGTTTCTTTCTTTGTTGGTTACAATTCTTCTGAAGTGCACTGGCTAGATGACCCCTTCCACTGCCGTGTGCTAGTGAGTTACAGACAGGGACTGTGTATGCTGGCCCCTCCCCTCCGGATCAGTCAAACTGCTGTGGCCTGCACTGTATTACTTTGCGCTGTCTCTCCTCTAGGTCAGTTAAACTTCTGAGGTTTCATTGGGTTAGTGTGGTTAGTGTTTGCCACCGCTGTAGGGATTTGATTTCATAGATCTTCTCTTAATTTCTTCTTGGGATGAGAGAATTCATCTCCCTCTGTTCGGGGCTCCCTTCTCTGTATTATGTTGAATTCTAAGCTGACTATCTCAGGGAGCCTCTGTAGCCAGTTGTTATCTATCCGCCAGCTTTGCTCCTCCCCCAGTTCATTATTACTTTCAAGAGATCTTTCAATTCATGATTGCTGGCTACAATCTTGTCTACAAGGTCTGAAAGTTTTTCCTCAGTCTATTTCAAGTGCCTTTGCCAGTTTTTGATGGACTTTTAATTTCTTGGGTATGTCTTTGAATCTGTTTTATACACCGTAATTCCTTTCTATATTGTTTATTCAAGGTTTCCATCATTTTCCTATGCTTCTCTTTTTACCTGTGTCTTCTTTAGACCTGTTGAACAATTCTTTTAGTGCGTTTGTGATTTCTTCTTTTACCTGAGATATTATTTCTTTCTTTTTTTGGTACCAGGGATTGAACTCATGATTCTGCGCTTGCCAGAGTGCTTATGCCACTGAGCTAAATCTGCAGCCTGAGATATTATTTCTGATTTGATTACTCTTATAGCTTCATGAATTTGTATCTTTACTTCAGTTGCTATCCTGTCACTGATTTCAGGTGTGGGACTTCCATTTTATTTCATGTCTGTATCTCCCAGACTTGTTCTGTGTTGGCTGAAGGTCTGGGTCCTTTACCTTGACATTTCCCTGTGTTCCTCTGGACAATCAGGTTATAGGGTCTCAAATGCTTCCCATGTTGGCTACCCTTCCACAGTGTAGGGGACTGGGTTGAACACCCAGTTTCTCCTATCTCAGGTTCCCCAGGAGGTGGTGGGGTGCGAGGTAGGCTTTTCTAGACACTCTGGGCTTCTCCAAGGCATGGCTGGCTGGTTCTCTTGGCCTACAATGGTTACCTGCAGGAGAGTCCCAGGGGTGGCCTACATGCATGTGGGAACTTGGCTGGCTGCTTCTCCTGCTCATGTGGGTTACCTATGAGAGAGACCCAGTGGTGACCAGGCGTGCCCTTAAGTATGTTATACTCCTGCTGATTTTAAAATCTCTGTCACAAGAGTAGGTGCAGGGGAGTTCAAGGGCAGAGGGAGCAGGGGGAGGTCCAGGTGTGTGTCAAGAGGTGTGTCTGGGTCATGCTCGTTGTTATGACCACTCACATGAGGTCTGCATCACAAAATTTCACACGACTATGCAGGGCCCTGAAACTAGTTGGAGATGCAGCCTTTGGTTCTTTTATGGGATGGTTAACAAAGGGCTCAAAATTCCTCCTGTAAAAGCCCCAGAAGTGCAGCACTGAGATTTGGTAGGCCTTCAGTGACATTTGGACATCTGTGAAGAGAGGACTCACCCCTGACTAGTGACCCTTGTAACCTTGGTGTGGGACTAGGTACCTAATTCTGTCTATTACTAGGGACCCACACTGCTTTGATGTGGGTTGGGAGCCAGGTGATTTTTACATACAACTGGTATGGAAGATGGGAATAGTATGTTTTGGATTAATAAACTGCTGGCCCAGCTGCCCACCACATGAGTGGCCCTGGGCCATGTATTTCACCAAGAATCTCGTTATCTATTCTTTGCAGGTATACAAAAAGTAAAGAAGACCACAGTAAGGTATCAGTGCAATGGTGGTTCCTCTCTCTTTCTATGACAAGACATCTATACCACCTAGACTCCTTACTAGAAAATGGTAAGGTTAGGGTGAGCAAAGTGGCATGCTGAGGGCATGAGATTTTGGGGTAACTCATTCTGAGAGTTATGCAAGTACCAATGGGCATGTGCCCAACCCATAATGAGCATCTCCTTGAATTCTGCATGTGGGTGCCTCTCATTACTGACTTTAGGACTAGCCTTGCTGAAAAATCACAGTATGGACCTTCTTGCTGCCCAGCAACTGTGGATATGGCTTTACTAGTGCGATTTAATTTCTTTAGAAACTTATTCTGGACAGAAGAAAATAGTGAATTTGATTTACATGACTCAGATAATTCATTCAGTTGCAGAATATTTTTGCTTTCTATGAACTCATAGCAGATTCCATAAAGTTCTAGAGCTGCCAGAGAACCTAAAAAAAAAAAAAAACCTTCTATACCTGTCTGATTTGTCAGACAAGGAAACTTTGGGGTCCAAATAAATTTCCTGTTGAGGTAACATTGGAGTTGGTGGCATAGCCAGGGACCCCAGTCTTTCCCTCCCAGCACATAAATTCAGTTCTCAGAAGCATAACTTTCTACAGGCTGATTACATATGTTACAACTGATTCCATATATTACAAAACCAAACCAAACCAAACCAAACCGTGTTCTGTAAGGGCCTATCTGGGATGCCTCCTTCATTCACCCGTTCTTACCTGTGCCAAACCTCCAATCTCTTTGACACAAACATAGAGTCGGAACAGGTCTAGGGGCTTTTTGCCCACTGCGGGCAAACTGGAGACAGGGGAGCCCCTCTCTTCCATGAAAGTCAAGTATCGGTCAACCCACAGTTTCCTCTCGGGCTCATTTCCCAGCTCATACACCTTTGTGATCTTCTCCCCTGTGGTGGTGGATGAGCTGGACTTCTGGTGCAGGAAGAAACATAGTGATGGGAGATGAAGAGCCGGGGGAAGGGAAGAAGGTGAGAAAAAAGCAATGAGCTAATAAATACAAGAAGATTATAAAACTACTGCTATCACACAACAATTAGGAATGAAGGCTACTAGTTCAGGCACAAACTATACATGTTCTTAATTAAGAATTTACTTTTGACTTTAAAAGGGTTCAAACTCACCCTTTTAGACACTTAAAAACTAAACCAAAATAAACGAAGTCTTTTTAACTTTAATATAGGCATTGAATCCCAGAAGGCAAGATTCCAATTAAGTCTTGTGCAATTTTAAAAAATAAAATGGTGTTAACTCAGAGAATGGTCAACATGAATTAAAAAGTTCACATGTAGTATCATAAGCTCCCAAACTAAATGCACTCCTGATTTTTCTTGTCAAAACAGGAATAGCTAATGTGTGTCTATATGAACTCTAAATTATGTGGAGGAGGAAATACAGTGTTTGCTGAAAAATGTAAGCTTGAAGCCATACCAAGCCTACTTGAGAGCTTTATAAACAAATCCAAACCTTTGGCACTTGATAACTAGCTTTCATTATTTATAATTTCCTACATGTCTCTGTCAAAGTAAGGTATTGTTAGATAATCAATATAATAGATTTCCTTTTTTTTTTTTTTTTTTTGGTGCTGGAGATTGAACTCATGACCTTGCACTTGCCAGGCAGGTGCTTGTGCCACTGAGTTAAATCCCTGGCCTCTAGATTTCTTAACATATTACTTTGGAATTCATGCTCAGTTTACGTATTGACCACATTCTCAATGCATCTATGGATAAATATATACATTTATTTTTATGTACATGTATTGATGTACTCCTGCAGCTCATATGGATACTCTTTAATTCTTGGTCTTTTATGTACCTGATTATATTTGACACTAAAATATCACCTATAGTCAACCCTCTAGATTGATTCTACGGATAACACAGGTCTAAATAGCCTAACTATATTTCTTTTCCATCTTTTATCTCTATTCTTGTTGTAATATATATTATTTTGCAATATCAAAGTTACTGTGCAAAATCACTGCTTAATTTTCAATAAAGATGTCCCTGAATTAAGAATTCATTTAATTTATTCATGCATATATGCTAGGCTATCATTTGCAATATAGAGCCATTATTTTAAACAGAGGTCTTGTTAAATTTTGCCTTTTCTTTTTCTTAATTTAGCATGGTATAGTTTAAAACATACTTTTCAAAACCAGAGGGTTCAGAAACATGATAGCCATTAAGGTTAGATGTTTCCTTGTCTCTCAAAGTGGCCCCTAGTAAAAGCTGGATCCTAAGAAAGGACACCTAAACATACAGATCTCAGAGCAGGAGGAGTAGCCCCTTTCTGTCTAATATGCCATGCTCCAAAGCCATTTTAGTTGAATATTAAGGCTTTGACTTTAAAATCTATACATAAAAGTTAAAAAAGGGATGATACAGTTGGTATAAATAAAAAATGAGGAATGTTAAAAAATAGTATATTCTTTTAAACTAACTTTGGTATTAAGGTTAAACTTTAATTCACACAGAAAACACTTTAGATGAAACTGTAAAATAATACATATTTATATTTGTATTTAAATATATATATTCAGAATATGTAAAACATTAATGCCTTTAAAACTCATTTTCCATACTTTTATACCTGAAGATTATTTGAATAGGAAGGGAAAGTTAACACAGACATCAGATTCCTGTATTTGTAATACTGCATCTTTAACAAGATGGTCATCATCAGGTAAATGTCAGTATCAAATTGTTTTTCTTTTAGAGATGTACACCAAAAAAAGAGGTGCCCATTTCTCAAACATGAAAATTTGAAATATGAACATGAGGGAAAACATTATCTTCAACAATCAGTGAAACAAAAAATATCTTTTATTTCATTTGTGAATAAGAGGAAAAGTTTGAAATTCAATTTAAGATAAAAGGAATAAAAACAATCATTTCAATTTTAAATTACTTCAACTAGCTCTTCTAATATACTGAATGTAAGACCCCCATCTGGCATTTCTGGCCTGGTCCTCTCTACTAAAACTGGGGAGTGGTTCTAGATGAACAGTTAATCATGAACAGAGGAACAGGGTGAAGAAATGTTTGCTCCTGCTTTTGAAAAGAGAAAATTCTTATAGCTGAAACAGGCCTATGATTTACTTGCCTTGTCTATCTATAGTTTAACTTTTCTCATCTTAAATAACTTGTGCTATCTCAATTCTCCTAAAATTAAAATAAAATGAAGATAATAGTTTTTAATGGTATTCCATTGAATAATTTTAAGACCTTCCATGAAGCATTTTTTATGGCACTGTAATGTAGGAAAATGGCTATGCCTACAATGGAAGTGGTCAGGCTTCTGTGCAAGCTCTGCAAAACCCTGGCCTAACTCTTAAGCCACTATCTCACTTTTTTTTCTTTGTAGTACTTTATTATATAGTGTGTTAACATGTTTTGCACATATTTGTCTGATACTCCCTCTTTCTACTAAGCTTGAAATTTCTCCAAGTTCTTAACTGTTCACACTTTGCACAGTGTCATATATATATATATATATATATATTTTTTTTTTTTTTTGTCTTTTTCCCCTTTTTATTGGTACCGGGAATCGAACTCACGACTGCCTGCTTGCAAGGCAGGCGCTTATGCCGCTGAGCTAAATCCCCAGCCCCCACAGTGTCCTATATTGATGGCTCTCTAAAGGTATTTATTTGTTCTACCAATGCCCAAATAGATGAAAGAGGACATGCCTGGTAGCATTCAAGTAAGAATCAACAACTGGTTCAAAAATCTTACATGCAGTATGTCAAAGAGAAGGCATGATGTGAATGCCTTAAGACTGTAGGCTGAGAAAAAGGCTCTGCTCACAGTTAGCATCTGACACCTTTACTCCCAGACCCAAGGTTTGCTCATGAGCCCAATTACTACCAGTCAGGATTTTGGTGTCTGAACAGAGAAAATGAACATGAGGAGAAACAAGAGGTTCTTGCATATATATTAACACTCTCCTCATTACTGGGTTCAACTCATTCTTTTTTTTTTTTTTTTTTTGGTCTTTTTCATTTTTATCGGTACCAGGGATCGAACTCACGACCGCCTGCTTGTAAGGCAGGTGCTTATGCCACTGAGCTAAACCTCCAGCCCCTCAACTCATTCTTGACTTGTCCCTAGACGGTAAGTAACCAGGAAAGATCATCTAGATGTAAAGTCTTTACACACTGAAAAACAGGCAAGCAAACTAATTCTCAGAAAGACTTTTCTAGGTACTAACGACTACCCAGACTTTTCTGGGCAACATCTAGGTGATTAACGACTACCTAGTGCTGCTTCAGTGTTGTAAAAATTGTGTCCTACTGTTCTGAAACTCTTACGGAGGCAGAAAAGGAATGGAAAATGCTGAAAAAATTCAGCAAGACAGTCTTATAGAGTCACAAATGTTTTCCTTCTATATATTTTAATTAAGCCCAAGTGTAAATTTTTTCAAGCCTTTTAGGCAGATTTATACTTTGCAGTCTTTACCATATGCTTGGTAATATGTATATGTGCATGCGTATGGACAAATGTTTATTTTTATTTTAGAATGTTTTGTAACAAAACAATATTGGTCTACAGCACACTGTCAAAGCAACAGCAGCTTTTTTATTTTCTCCATTTCAGGCCTGCTGTTAGAAAGGCTTTATTAAGGACACTATTAAGAGCAATTTTGAGCACAAATTGCAGTGGTATCTCAGAAAGAACAAGTATTTCTGAATTGCATGTATTTGCAGTGATCTGGTAGCACAGATGATTTTAAGTCCTTCATTACACTGTCCTTTTGTCCCCTTCCTGAATTACCACTTTGTTTAAAAAAAAAAGTCACCATTTCCACAACATATAGCAAGAGTTTAACATCTCTATTTTGGCAAACTCAGCTTCTCTTGTCTTTATCTAACACTAGAGCCAGAAGTTTGTTTGTAAATTCTCAAATAAAAAACAATTATGGTACAAAAGGAGATAATGTGTGTAGAAATACTTTAAAAATTAATGTACAATTTCAAGTGCAATTGTATTATAATCATTAAAAGCAATCAACAATTTAGTTTGCTTTTCTTTTATATTTAAGTAGAAAGTAGGATTCTGACAAGAATTTCTTCCAGGACTCACAGGAGACAATCTGACTAGTTAGTGTATACTATCCAACTTAGTGATTTCTTATGATTCTGAGATCAGCAAGATGAGCGTTTGAACACATAACATGATCCAGCAGCAGCTGCTTTAATAATAAGTAATCCTTCCTAACTATCATCTTAGATTTTCAAAATTACTATTTTCAATTTCTAAAGTTCCCCCTCAGGCAATACACAAATATTTTTGGAAAGTTATTTGATTTCTACCTGTTTGCTTAAGCACATTACTGATTCAAAGTGCTTTTTCCTATTACAGAGACAGAAAGAAAACAAAACATAAAGTCAGAGTGGGTTATGGGAAACACTTCACATAATATTGGCTGCCTTCTGAGACTCAAAGCAAATAGCACAAAGAAATCCAAAGGAAGGGGTCTGGTTCTCCCTTCCCCTTAGTTCTGCTTCACTCAGTGTGGCAAAGTTGAAATACATCTATAGGGAAGGTGAGAACGTAGAGCACCCTTCCTTCCTCTGAAAAGGAAAAGGGCTGGTTACACTGGAGCTCCATGTGACCTTTACAAACATTTAATAGAACAACCAATTCTTTAAACCATCAAGCTCTTTCTGTTTAACCCAATGGTAATTAATAGCAGCCTCCTTTTGGATTTTTGACTAGGTTGCCAGATCTTGCATAGTGAGGGTCTTCTTCCCAACTGACTTTTTGCCTGAGCTGTGCTCTTCAACACATGTTCTTATAAAAATTAGTGTGTTAATTAAGCCTTCTTGGCAACCAATTGCATATTAAGTTTTTTAAAAAGATCTTTTGGTTCTCTATATGAATACAGAATAAAGGTTACTACTGCATATTGTTCATTTTTTTAATGGTACAGAATTAATTTCTTCAATAGGAAAATAAAGGCACAACTCTTAAGAGAAGAAGAACATCAAGGTTTAAACAGTTCCCTAATATGTGTATTAGCATTTCCATTACTTGGATATCATATGGAAATCAACAGTTTTTTTCCAAGATTACCAGCAGTCCCGTTCAGAACACCACTTTTTTCTCTACTGACTCCAATGTAGCTATACATTATTAATCTAAAAATTTACATGCACTAATATTCCTATAACTTCATTGTTAATTTCAGACATATGATCCAAAAATGAAACAGGCTGATGCACGCTAAACCATAACCAAACTTTGTAATATTTATACACTTGTTTTAGGCTCAGTTTAAAATACGATGTTTTAGATAGAATAGCCCATGACAAACAAGTCTGGGGACAAATGTGCCATTAGTCCATAACTACTATTAGTTCCCATGTAATCAGAGAACTAAATTATTTAATTGACACGTGAGTGCACAGCACATCTCTGTGTGGAGGAATCTGGGCCCAGCATCAGGAGCACATTTTTGAACAGAGATGATTCTTCATCAGAGAGCAACTGTCATTACCAGAAATCAACTTCTACAATGCATACAAACTCTACTCATTATGTTACTAATGCAATTGTATATAAAGAAAACCTTTTCATGGATTAATAATGAAGAAAAAGTCTTATAAAACAAATCAACAAGCAAGCATTAAAGTAAAATTAAATTAATTATCCATAAACCCGCCCCAAAAAACAAAAAAATACAAAACAAACAACCAGAGCCACTTACAGGGCTTGATGGAGTCTTTGGCCAGCCTGGGCTGCTAATGCTATCGCTCTCATCTCCATGAAAGGAGGAGATGCTAGCAGAGCTGGGGGACATTGGGGAAGGGACTGGCAGGTTGCCTGGGGTTGGGGGCTGAGAAATACCCTGAGAGCTGTAGCTATCCTGTGGTAGAGGAATAAAAAAAAAAAAATGACAAAGGTAGGGCAAACTTTATTGGAAATAACAAAAAATACATCCAGTTTAACAGACTGATTATATACATATATATACATATACATATATATATATATATATGTATATATATATATATATATATATATATATGAAGACATGTACAAACACACACACAAACACACATATATAAAGGTATTAAAACAACATTCTTAATTAGTATGATTTGGTAAGTTTGCTGGATGCTGGATAAGGCCACAAAGCCACCATGCTTACTTCAAGCTTACATGGAATGCTAAGCATGGGTTACCCCTTATGAAAGAAGAAAGAAAAAAACCAAAACAAAACAAAGGCTGTTCACCTTATTTATCAAATAAGGCAGGAAAGCAAAATATTAAGTATGTTGTTGTTGCTGAGGCGGCCAAAACAGGAAGCTATAAACTGAAGGCAGAGAAAATGGCTGCAAGTATCAAACCCAGGCAAGATCCCTTACTTCTCCCCACCCCCAAGCAGTTCTCTTAGGTGGGCCTTGTCCCTCCACCCCCTGCCCCACCATGAGTTAATGCCATAAGAACTAGTAACTTTCAGATCCACACCATGAAGGGGGTGAGGGAAGAAAAGAATATGAAAATGCTGAACAAAATGAAGGCATGCAGAAGAGAAGAAACCAAGAGGGGAAAAAAATGTTGCCAGCACCAAAGAGCTAACAGCAGGGCAGCTTTGGCCAGGCAGTGCCCACATGCATGCAGGGAGGAAGTACCTTTGACTTGCTCTCAGACTGTGGAGTGCCTTCTTCTTTGCCATCTGCTTTGAGAGGCATGGGCAGCTTGGATTCACCAGGAGACATCATATCTGCAAGACCCATAGATGCTAATCGAAAACAGGAGAAAGAGTCAAGATTATTCATGTGATTTGTCAAGACTGTTTTTCTGCCAACACGAGTTACTGAAATGAATGAATCATGAGAACCTGAGTTTTCCTTGAAGGAAGGAAAAAACAGAGAAATGATAACTAGGCGTATATAATTTCTGAAATCTGAATAACATCATATTCTGGCAACCTTTCCTTGGAAGAGAGTGAGAGAAAAAGAAAGCCTAGAGAGAGAGAGAGAGAGAGAGAGAGAGAGAGAGAGAGAGAGAGAGAGAGACAGAGAGAATGAATAACTATTCTGTACATTAAAAACCCAAACCAGTGAAGTTCAGTTTATATTTTATTTTTCAAAATTATTATAGCTTTATCAGAGTAAGCAACAAGTGGAAAGAAGCCAAATGTTTAAACTGCTCATCAGGTATTGAAAACAAATGCTGGGTATGTGTGGCTTTTACCTGTGTGACTAATTTCTTCAATCCAAGTAATCTGCAGTTTGTAAAATTATTTGATATTTACTGTCTGATTTGAAATTCTTATGTATTGCATATGGTCTAGTCTAAAATAAGGGAACACAATCATATGGATGACTTTAAAAAGAATAATCAGAAATAAAATTATGAAGGAAGGATCTCTAATTACTTTGCAATGGGGCTGGTATCCATAGCCTGGCACAGACCCTGCAGTCATCAACCCTCCCTGGCAGCTCACCACCAGCTCAGATACCCACAGCAGCTACAGAGCCAACACATTCTCTCTTTCTCTAGGCTCAGTAATGCAATCATCTCCTCTAGCCATCAGATAAAGGCTCACCAGAGAACAACTGATTCATACACATTTATTGCAGACACTAATAGACACTTTCAGGTTAAAAATATGGGTTTTGATTTCTTTTTAAAGGAAGAACAAGGCTATAGTAGGGAATTGGTGTAGCTATCCAGGGACTAACAGCTGAATTTCCACAGAACCCCACTGTGAAAACCATCTGCACAACTGAGGGCTGCAGGGGCTGTGTGGGAAACACCAACCAGATGTGTGAAAGGCAGAATGGGGTGGGGAAGATAGGGGACAAGAGAAAAAGGACAAGCCTTATAAAGTAGTGGAGGCCAGAAAACACTACCTGTAAAAATAACATGAACCCGAGGTTTATGTGCAGGATTCATTTCATACCCTGCAAAGACAAGTGCTGGCTCAATCAGGAAGGACACATGGAACACAGTGTGCCAAAAAAACAAAAAACCACCAGCTTTAAAAAAGGCTCCACAGATTGCCCACTACAAAATGATTATTGCACATATTCATGTATTACTATGTTTTAGAAAATAATTAGTTTTAATTACAGCAGTGAGAGAGTGAGCAGGCTCTGGTGAATTAGCTGGCAAGCTCTCTGGTGCTAATTTGCTAATATCGTTAGCATCACTGCAGGTTGAGACCATAGGTCCTGCCAAAAAAGCCTACTCTGCCACGTGCCCATAAGTTTACATCAGCATACTCAATAATAAACTCTGAAATCCTGTATTTTTCACAGGCACACTGGCTAGTGTTTCAAAGCCCATTTGCAGCCCCAGTCAGCCCTTAAAGTCATCACAACACACACAAATCATAATTAGGATGTTTTTCTTTTTTTCAAATTACTTTCAATACGTAGACTTTAAGAACTAGAACAAAAAGCTTTTTCAAGTGATGCAGCTGCAGAGAAAAATCTATTGGGATCAGCTAAAAATGCTGTTATTTTTGTGAATGTGTGAAACCTCAAAAAAGCAGCTGAGAGAGATTACAACTAAGAAGACTGCCTTGTTCAAAGTAGCGAATTGACTTTGTGCAGTGTTATCTCTGGGTTCTAACATTACAGGAATTAGTAAACCTGTATACTTTAAAACAACCTTTTTACAAGAATAAAAAGATATTAAAAGGCAGCTAAGTGTGAAAAGAGGGGCTTGTGTATGAAATTCCATGTGTCCTTTTTCTTTTTTTTATGTGTGTCCTTTATCTTATCTAATGAGTCCACAGAAATCATAGCTAGCCCAATTCCAGAGAGAGTGGGGAGATCATGTAAACAGTGCTAACTTTCAATTGTATCTGCATGAATATTACAATTATGTTTGAATATTATTTTTAAGTTACAAATAATATCACACTTTATATCATCAACAAAGGCAATTTTAATAATAAGGAACTAGGCTAATGTGTTTTATAATAATTAGTGATAATTTATACTGATTTAAAAATCAGACTTACATAAACATAAGCATTATGTTGATTTAAAGTTCTTCAAATAGCTTAGATGGACATTTTAGGTACGCAAACATAAAAACTACATTGCTTTATTATCTTGAGAGATCAAGACAGAATGTAGAGTAATAGTTTTATTGTTCTTCTGCCTGACAGTATAAATTTTATTTTACCAAGTGGATCATAAAGTCTTCCTTTACTATATAGCTTTTACTATTCTTTTTAATGAAATGCTTATTTTTTGACTTCTTACTGGAATTCTCAATCATTCACTGCAAAGTCACACATCTCCTCGGGCAGTGATACTCCAGGGGCATTATTTTTTTCTCATTTCTCAGAAAAAGCAAGACCTACTACGATCCTAAGGACGAGTTACATCAAGGTAGTGTTCCTTCTCTCACCGACACTAGCAATCTAGTATGGAAAATTTAAATGCAAGAAGAAACAGTATGGAATCTGTGGCTGCAAAAAGTGCTGGCTGAGCACTGTAAATACATTTCAAGCACAGCCTCTGGCCATGTCATTGAAATTTAAGAGTTAGAATAAGTTCCTAAAGAGCTTGGGTCATGGTCCTATGGCAGTTATTTTGCCTTGTATTTAATACACATTCAAAAGAACATAAAGAACACATGAAGAAGTAAAATGGAACCTAAACATTCATTCCTGTTTTCTTTAAGCCTTTTCAGTTTCCCTACAAGGCTGCAGAGTCATTTCCAGAAGATTGTAAAATAGGATCAGAAACACATTCAGTTATTTTCTTTTGATAGTAATGTACTACATTCTGGAAAAGGTTTTATTCCTTGTTGACAAAAGCACAAAGGGCTCACCTTTGTGTGTATACCTGTAGATGTTCATGACTATTGACACGGAAAAATATAAAATGCATTATTAATTTGATACATAGAAGAGATATGGAAAAAGTTCAGGCAATATACTTTTCTCCTGCTGGTTCAGTACGGCCATAAGAAAATCCTTTGAACATCCCTATTCTGAGAACCTCTCGGGGATAGTGACTTTGAGAGGTTAGAGGCTGGGTGTGATCCCTAGTTTGTACCAGTGTTGCTCCCTGTGCAGACATACTAGTAAAGCTGTTACATATAGCTGCTATAAGAGAATGGCCAGGACAGCCCTGATATTCCAGTTTGTTTTGGCAAGATCTCAGCATGCACTTCCTTTGTATACAGGAGTTGGTTTTTAGGGTTTTCAAAGGATTCACCTAGAATCATTAATTTAAAGCAAGCCAACAAACACTTCTGTAAGCTTCTTGGGCAATCAAGTACCATGAGGAGTACTAAAGGCTTAAAATTTCCAGTATGAAGACCCTAAAGTTTTAAGAATATAGCTATCCAGCTGGTAAGTTCACATTCTAGGCAGTTTTGTATGCCTTTTTAAAACCTCAAAACAGCAAATTGTCTGGTCAATAGTTAATGCATACAAAGGTGGTAGTAGTTGTGTCAGGTGACAGAAGATCGAAATACAGGTACTTTGGTTCACTTGCACTGTCAAAATACAGTGGTACTTAAGTTCACTTGTTTTATGATTTTGGAAAAGATGGCCATGTTCATGTTTATGTGGGAAAAATGGCCACAGTCCTGTCTATCAACCCATGCAGAGTTTACAAATAAAAAAAAAATTTTGCCAAACATTTGTTTGTGAGCCAAATTGTTTGTAAACAAAAGTGTTCATGAACTAAGGTATCACTGTACCCCCAAATCTGCAATTCTTGAACTTTGGCACATGCACCTGAAAATTACCTGTGCAGTCTGTTAGGAATGCAAACTCCTGGGTACATCCTTAGGAATTTTGGTGGAAACCTTGGAATCTAGTTTTAACAAGCATTACAGACATTGTGAAATAGGTGGTTCATAATTTTGTAGCAGAGTGATGAATTGTTTTCTTTGTAAAGGGCTATTGTAATTATTATGCCCCATATAGGCTAGGCATTAACAGGATACTTTGCATGTGAGATTGAGCAATGTTGGGAGACAGACTCACTACTGCAGTTTGACTAGATTTCTGTATAAGAGCAAGGCAGTGGCATGTGGCTGCCCCTTTACTGTCTACTGGATAGAGTACAAATGGCCTACATTTTGTGGAGTGTCTTCTGATGAGGCAAACTCAAAAGTACAGATGGTAGGCATCCATGTTTTTAAATTTAGATGTCTATACTAAGATGACAGCTTACATGCAAATGAACACATGGCTAATAAGTATTATAAATGGAATACAAGTAAGTATAATTCAACTAACACTGCATATATTGTATATAAGGATATATTTAACAAGGTTACACATGATTAATAATTTCCCCCTTAACGTAAAGTTCTAACCTTCTAATCTAAATAGTTAAAACAGAATCAAAAAGGTTTCAGAGAGAAAGATCCCCACTGCTTACCATATAGCTTCCTCTAGCATTTTAAGTAAAAAAATAGTCCTCATATTTGTACTCATACTGACACCATTTAAATAATTACTCACTCACTGAACCCTGTAACAATTTATCACTACACTGGAAGATTTCTTTTGGCTCTCTACAACTGCCTGAACTCAGTGAAGAGAATGTTAGAATGCTAGTTGTACTGGCTATTAACTGAGATGCAGAAAATTCTACTACTAGCCCTGGTCAGCATTTGTAATGTTTTTGCTTTCTCTGAAAGTACACTTTAACGGAGAATATTTTACTATTATCACTGGTAATTTATTTCCACTGACTCAAGCCAAGAAGATGGATGTGATGGTGAGTCATTCCTGATTCATGGTTATGCAAGTTT